ATCTCTGCTCTCAGAGTCACCTGGATCAGAGTGCAAATGGGGATGGAATCTTCTTGGAACCGCTGAAAGGACTGTAGTGTAGGTAGGAGACAGGTGGTGTCTAAACAGGTAGACCTTGCATAGCCACTGAAGATTTTAGAAGGACTTTGGGCCAGCGGGGAGATGCTTAATTTAGGAAGAAAACTCGGTAAGATTTTTCTGCAGATCTATTAGATCTCAGCTGAAAGATTCAGACAACCAGTAGATGGTAGCAAAGAAGCAGAAAGAACTGCATGGTCTCATCCCTGGAGCAGAACACAGAACAAGGTTATTACCCACTGATGATATATTATGTACTATTGATAAATCTGAAAGTTCAATGCCATAAGTAATTAATACACTACAACGGAGGTAAATTATCAGATTACTTGATAAGACTAATGTACTTCTCATAGGCTCTGGTGTACCTGTGAAAGCTGAAAACCTGGCTTTTATTTGGGGTTTGAATTCTTTTAAATCTTGGAATGAATGTTTCTGTTTCTTTCAGAATAATTATCAGTACCATTATTATCATGATATTAGCATGCCATTATTATCACATCAGTAATTATCGTTATCAATAGCTGATTACAATTCCCAAAGAGTGTATGGGATAGACTAAATATTGTACAACAGAAAATTACTTCAGGAGACCTGCAGATGCTTGAAGTGATTCCTTTGTTAATATAAAGATTTTCAAGCACTTTAAGAAATTCATGAGACACTTTTTATGGGGTGAACCACCTCCTACATTTTGTTCATAGAATGATCAGGATTTTATCTTTCTGACTTCACCTTTGGGACCTCAATGTAATTTCAAATTAAGAAAAGCGTGGTCTTACCATGGCATTATAAAGTACTGCTTTATAAAGCCTTAGTAAGACCACACTTGGAATACTGCATCCAATTTTGGTCACCACAATATAAAAAAGATGTTGAGACTCTGGAAAGAGTGCAGAGAAGAGCAACAAAGATGATTAGGGGACTGGAGGCTAAAAAAATAAATAAAGAATGGTTGCAGGAATTGGGTATGTTTAGTTTAATGAAGAGTAGGGGCGACATGATAGCAGGGTTCTAATATTTGAGGGGTGCCGCAAAGAAGAGGGGGTCAACTATTCTCCAAAGCACCAGAAGGCAAGACAAGAAGCAATAAATGGTAACTAATCATGGAGAGAAGCAACCTAGAACTAAGGGGAAATTTCCCAACAGTGAGAACAATTAACCAGTGGAACAACTTGCTTCCAGAAGTGTAGATGCTTCATCACTAGAGGCCTTTCTAAAAAGACTGGACAGCCACTTGTCTGGAATGGCATAGGGTCTTCTTCTTCAGCAGAAGTTGGACTAGAAGACCTCCAAGGTTCCTTTCAATTCTGTTATTCTATTGCTTCTTGTCCTGCCCTCAGGTGCTTTGGAGAATAAGTCAACCTCCTCTTTTCTGTGGCAGCCCCTCAAGAACTGGAAGATCATATCTTATCACTCCTAGTCCTTCTCTTTGTTAGACTACTAGACAAACCCAGTTCCTTCAATCGGTTCATCGTATGGTTGAGCCTGTTCTATCCCAGCCTATTGCCGTCCTTGTTAAAGGCACAAGGACCAAACCCCTGCTGATGCAATAGGCTGGAGACTTTACAATAAAACAAAACTCTTTTAATATGGTTGACAAACCTGTCAAATTGTCCAAAACACAAACAGCAAAACTCAAGTCCAAAGGAAACACGATGCAAACAAACGAGAAGTCACAAGCAAGACCAAGATCCCAAGAAGCACTTTGCAAACGGTTGCCTTCAGCAACCAGCACCGCCCACACCTCCTCCCTTTATTCAGCAGTCCCAAGGCGTTGCCTCTCATTGCCTTCTCTTTTTACTCTGGAGGTGCCGCATTGACTGTTGTTGATTTACTCTCGCTAATTGACAACGTGTGCAGGCGTCAATTAGCAAGTCCATGAGCTGTGGGTCTTCCGGGTCTGACTCATGCTCCTCACACAGCTGAGCTTCATCAGGAACTCGACTGGAGGGCCCAGGCTCTGCATCAAACCGTGAGTCTTGTAATTCATCAGAGCCTCCCTCTGCCCCTGATGGCCCTTCAAATGCCTCCTCCACCTCCTCCTCAGATCAGCTGTTGTGAGCACAGGCTGGCACGGAATCACAACAGAGCGTTCAGATCCCTTATCAACCTCTGCATGATCCTCACCATTCATTAGGGTCACCTGTCTGAAATTTGTTCCCTGGCAGCTGTATGCGTGGGACCTTGTCTAGAATTGCTCCTGATCTTTGGAAGAGTTCCTACTGGGACAATAAGCTGAAGTCTTGGGGGGCCTAAAACCTTAAGTGCATTTTGGTGCTCTTTTAGCTGATGCTTTAATTCAGAGATGTTGTCCTCTGAATGATGTTTCTCCTGCTGGGAAGGGTAGTTGTGTGATGTATAAAAGTCCAAAGACTCCCCCACTTCCGCTAACAATGCAGTACTTAACAGCTTCAATCGCTTTAATTGTTTCATTGGTTTCTGACTGTTTTTAATGGGTACCGATTTTTTTGATTTAGCAGTTTTAATGTACACACATCATTATGTAATGTAATGTTTCTCAAACTTGGCAATTTTAAGATGCATGACCTTCAACTCCCAGAATTCTGTCTGGGGAATTGTGGGAAGGTTGAGAAACACTGATACAACACTGGTAACTGTAATTATATATTTTTGAATGACACATATTTAATGTAACTTAATATTTACATAGTAGAAATGGCGATGTATTATGACCATAGGCCACATTTGCTTAGCAGCCGTGAGAGTAAATACTCCAGTTTTATCGTCTGTAGCAAAGAGGCCATCAAATATTTGACAGTGCTCAGATTTTTAATGAAACTACTGCTGCAGGGTAAGACAATCCCCACCAGTCAGTTGCAAAATGCAGCTTTACTTAGAACACAAAACATGAAATAATCGGATTGGAAGGGGCCTTGGAGGTCCAGGGGTTCTCAACCTTGGCAACTTTAAGACTTGTGGACTTCAACTCCCAGAATTCCTCAGCCAGCTTTGCTTTGCTGGCTGAGGAATTCTGGGAGTTGAAGTCCACAAGTCTGAAAGTTGCCAAGGTTGAGAACCCCTGCTCTAGTCCAACACCCTGTTTAAGCAGGAGACCCTGCTTACCATTCCAAAACAGGTAGTTCTCTACTTACAACGGCAAAGTTCAAAGTTACAAAGGTACAGAAAAAGTGACTTATGACTGTTTTTCACACTTACAACCATTGCAGCATCCCCAGAGTCATGTGATCCAAATTCGGATGCTTGACAACTGACTCGTATTTATGACGGTTGCAGTGTCCCGAGGTCACATGACCACGTTTTGCAAGCTTCTGACGAGCAAAGTCAATGGGGAAGCCAGATTCACTTACTAACTTAACAATTGCAACGATTCACTTAACAACTGTGGCAAGAAAGGTCGTAAAATGGGGCAAAATTCACTCAACAAATCTCACTTAGCAGCGTAAATTGTGGGCTCACTTGCGGTCGTAAGCTGAGGGCTATCTATAATTACCTCCTGTTGACAGTACCTTTAATGTTATTAAACAACATCTGCCTATCCCAGATCCTTGGGAAGGACTTGACGGGTAGGCAAAACCCCCAAATCTGGTCTAAACATCATTTTGCAAATCATAATCATCAGCAATGCTCAAATTTGGAAGGAAGAGAAAAAGGAATGACTCTGGCAATCTAAGGTGAATGATTCTTTTGTGTGTCATTATTGGTTTGTGCCCTTTCTGGGCAGATGACTAGACCACAAGATCTTTAGATATGGAAGCCAAGAAGAAGCCACAGAGTATCAATACTTAGAAATGATGTTCTGTATGTTGACAGCAGCAAGAGTAGTCTACGCTCAGAAATGGAAGACCACATCGATTCCTACAACGGAGGAATGGCTACAAAAACCAATGGAGCTAGCAGAGATGGCTAAACTGAATGTACTGATTAAAGAAAAGAATACGAAAGCTTTTATTGCCATGTGGAAACTGCTTCTAGATTTTGTTCTTGAGGTGGAAAAAAATGAAATTTTGATTGTGGGCTTTACCAGTTAGATAGATTTGACATTAATAAAATGGCCAGTTTACAATATTTTGTAAAAGTAAAAAGTTGAGGTTTGAAGTCGATACTCTATTGCACAGAAGGAACTCGAAAGTTGATGCCTTTTTTCCCCTTTTTTTCTCTCCCTTACCTCATTCTCCCTTTCTCTTCCCCATGTTTTTGGTGGTTTGTTGCTGTACAGCTTTCAAACGTTTCGACACCAGGCTAAGTGATATCCTGAGCAGGACTTCGGTTGAAGTGTCTGGTGTCAGTTCGTCTCTGCTATTATTGATCTCATGTGCTCACGTGGGTTGGTGGGTCTCATGGTCATGTGGTTGGTGGGTCACTTGGTGACCTTCACATGACATCACCAGCCAGTCCCATGGCATGCCACAGCATGACCAGCCGGTCACATGACACACCAACCACATGACCACATGAGCTCAATAAAAGAGGAGACGAACAAGACACTTCAACCAAAGTCCCGCTGAAGATGTCACCTAGGCTGGTGATGAAATGTTTTGGAAACTAAACAGCAAGCCTGGAGAACAAACCACCATCAACAGTATCTGCCAAGGTAATGATTTAGAAGCTAACCAGCTTGTATAACATGAAATATATGATGTAATGATGGGAATGACTCAGCAAGGTCTGTGTCCCTTTAAGAGCCAGCTGGGTCTGTATCTCCTTAAGAGCCTTTGAATAAAAGGAAGGCTCTGCTGCTGTGTTCCCTCTCTTCCGTTTCCTGCTGTAATTGTAGTTTGTTGGATCCTGCAAGTGTATATATATTTGTTCCTGGTGTATGATATTGTAGATAGTGTAAGATAAACCACCATTTGATACAAGCCACTGTTTACTGTATTTACTCCTGGCTTATCTCAGTGCAATAAGACTGTGCACGCTCTGACAGTATCAATACTTACGCAAGAGCCATGATTCCATATGGCCAGGACCGGATCTCCAGCCTCTTCCGGCTCTTGACTTCATCCAGGGTCAACACCATCCCACTATCTGACTCACCATCCTACAGGAGAGGAGGAAGAAGAGATTCAGGGCGTGCTTCTGAAAGCTGCTCATTCAAAGCCAGAGGCTAGAGTGGCTCCCAAGCAGGAATCATTTTAGCTCCAGAGGAAGATCACTTTCCCTTTCCAGGTTTTCCCCTGGCTTTTTTGCTGCCTTTTAATTGTATTTACAGTCACACAGTTTTAATTTTTTGGGAAACCTGCCTTGACACTGGCTAGATTATACAGTGAGTTTTTATTTTACACATTATTATATTTTTATTCAAAGTATTACAATGTGTTTTATTGCAAACCACTCAGAGAGCATTGGCTGCTGGGCAGTTTAAATAATTTAAATGAAATAAATCAAATAAAGTGGGGCCTCAAATGGACCAGGGATTTTGTGCACCAACCTGAACCTTGGGTTCATTAAAAAAAAAATGGACGAGATTGCCACCAAATATTGTGTTTTTTGCAGTGGGGGTAGTGACTTGTGTGTTATTATTTTTTTGTACGGTAGTAGCATTCTACTAAGATCATGAGAAATCTAATCTGGTAGGAATCATACTCAATTTTCTGCTTTAAATTCAGAGATACTCTGGGCAGAGAAATGGCCTAATCTCTGCCCCCCCCCCCAACCATCTGGGTTGCAGCTGGCTACTGTTTCATTGAATTCCACTTCTGCTTTCTGCTTAGCTTGTAAACTACCTCTTCAGCTTTATGAGGAGGGTGCTTTACAAGGCAAAAATGTATAACGTTTAGAAACCCATATAAAATGAAGGATGCAACGGTGTGGTGGGAATGAATTGTGAAAAGGAAGGGAGGGAGGGAGGAAAGGAAGGAAGGAAGATGGGAAGATAAACAGATAAGAAAGGGCAGTTATTACTTTCCTTCCTTTAATTTTTTCATACTTGAAGTTCTAGATACACAAAAGTCCAAGGTAAGAATCCAGGGAACAGGGGTGGGCTGCTTTCTCCTAAACTGGAGCTCTGATCTATCTAACTAAACTTTGTTGACACTGATTGGCTGCAGCTTCCTCCAAATTTCAAGCAGGAGGTTTTCCAAGCTACCTGGAGAGGTGAGGGATTAAACTAAGGGCCTTCTGCATTCAAAATGCATCTTTACCACCAAACGACGACTCTTTAAATGTCTTCCTAAGATGCATTGTGGAACATTACATCTGCTGTATGATTAAACCCAATGGACTAAAGCTGATGTGAGATTTCCCTTGCCTTTGCCTGGTATCCCAACTTGCAGTTAGACATAATGCGTTAAACCTCAACGAACAGCCCCAAATCTGGACATTTGTCAAGAAACCATCATCACATTATATGCCTATCAAATATGATATGCTTTGAAGTTCATCAGGGTTGGAAAAATGTGACAGGCTTCTGATGCATTTTTTTCCCCCATCTTGAGATTTTCTTTCATTTTTTTTTTCTATTCGCCAATATCCAAGGAAGAATTGGTTGGAGTAAGAAAATAAGTAGTGCCTTTAAGACTAACCAATTTTATCTGGGCATAAAATCTATGAGCAAAAGCCTGTCAAATGCACTGGGGCAAAAGCCCACTCTCTGATAAGTGAGCTGCTATTCATGAAGAAGTTAATTAGTCTTCAAGGTACTACCATATTCTGTGTTTCTCCTGGATAATAGTGGCTGATGCTTTCTTCTCCTTTTCCATCTCCCTAGATTTGCTCACTTGGCTGGCACGTTTACCAACTTATTATACTGTATCTTACTGCAATAGCACTTAGACTTATATACTGCTTCACAGTGCTTTACAGCCCTCTCTAAGCGGTTTACACAGTCAGCCTATTGCCCCCAACAATCTGGGTCTTCATTTTACCAACCTCGGAAGGATGGAAGGCTGAGTCAACCTTGAGCTGGTCAGGATCGAACTCCAGACTGTGGGCAGAGGTAGCCTGCAATACTGCATTCTAACCACTGTACCACGATGGCGCTCAATATGGCAGGATAAACCCATACATGACAATGCAATTTATCTGAAAAATATTGGGTACATTGTGCGCCTATTGGTAATCTGTATCACTGGATCACTTCAATTGTTTGTTCCTTTTCAGATAGTTATTTATATTCAGGGATGGATTTCCTAGCTGTTTCCTGCTTGCAGATCTTCCCCTTAACAGTGGCCACTTTCAGGTGGGCAGTGAAAAACACAAGTCTGGTTGAAGCTCACCTCATGTATCATCTTCCCCTTCTCTACAGGCACCTCATCAAAGGTCTTCACACTTAATGGCCGGTTCTTGGAGTTAATGCTGGAAATAAAGAGGAGGTAAGATTTTGGGTTGCCCACACATGGTCATTAAGGGGGGGATGATCTTTTCTGTCCATTCACATGAAAGTAAGATACCGGAAAAAAGATGATTAGGGGGCTGGAGGTTAAAACATACGAAGAACAGTTGCAGGAATTGGGCTTGTCTAGTTTAATGAAGAGAAGGACCAGGGTAGACATGATAGCAAGGTTCCAATATTTGAGGGGCTGTCACAGAGAGGAGGGGGTCAACCAATTTTCCAAAGCCACCTGAAGGCCAGACAAGGAATAATGGACGGAAACTGATCAAGGAGAGATTCAACCTAGAAATAGAGAGAAATCTTCTGACAGTGAGAACAATCAACTAATGGAACAGCTTGCCTTCAGAAGTTGTGGGAGCTTCAAGAAGAGACTTGTCAGCCATCTATCAGAAAAGGTGTAGGGTCTCCTGCTTAAGCAGTGGGTTGAACTAGATGACCTATAAGGTCCCCTCCAACTCTGCTATTCTATTCCAGGGGTCTTCAAACTTGGCCCTTTTATGACTTGTGGACTTCAACTCCCAGAAGTCATAAAAGGGCCAAGTTTGAAGACCCCTGTTCTATTCTTAACAAGCACTCTGGTCAGTTCCCTAATCATCTTTTTTGCTCTTCTCTTCACTCTTTCTAGAGTCTCAACACCTTTTTTGTATCCTGGTGACCAAAACTGGACTCAGTATTCCAAGTATGGTCTTACCAATGCAGTATATAAAGTGGTAAGACTTTTCATGATTTTGATACTCTCCCTCTGTTGATGCAGCCTAGGACTTCATTGGCTTTTTTGGCAGTTGCAACACAGTGCTGGCTCATATTTAAGCCACCTGCATGTTCTTTTTTTTTAAAAAAATATATTTTATTAGATTTTATATGGGTAGGGAAAAGTGGGGTTGGGGCGGGTACAGGGAAATCGGGATAAAGGTGACAGGGTGTGGATAACTACAGTAAATACATAATTTAGCGAACAAGCTGTCGTCCGGGTCTTCATATTGAGTATTATTGTTTATATAATACTAGACATTTATAAGAATAAATCGGTATAGTTACAACTGACATTTGGTAAAACAGTAATATTCCTTTAAATAATTAACATAGTTGATAGCATAACATCTATTTCCAATCATCAAGCTTAATACTTAATATGATAAAGCTCTAAAATCTCTTCTTATTCTAACGTGTTTCAACCCACTGATAAAATTTTCCCCAGGTTTTATAGAAGATTGAATCCTCTTTCTCCTTCATCTCTAATGTTAATCTGTCCATTTCTGCACAATCTAGGATTTTCAAAATTATAATCTGGTCTGATGGTAGGTTTTCATTTTTCCAAAACTGGGCGAATACTATTCTTGCAGCTGTCAATACATGTAATATTAAATAATCATTTTCTTTGCCATAGTTAGGTCTTAATATACCTAACAGGAACAGTTCTGGTTTAAATTCTATCGGGATTTTCATCATCTTTTCTAACCATCTATGAATTTTAGACCAATATTTTTTTACAATAGAACATGTCCACACCTGGTATGTTCTTAGGAATAAAGGAAATAGCCAGTAAGAGTGCTGGAGAAGCTGCAAAAATACAGTGGAGGCACAATTTAGTTTCCACTGCTATCCACCTTTCCTTCCAGGTGCTTACTTTGCTCTATGGAACACATTAATCCATTAATTCCTTTGGAGATGCTGCAAAAAAGAGGTGTATTTCTACTTCTATCACATCCAGAACTTTTAGGGCTTCTCTGATCGCTTGTTACAATGAGATCAATGGCTGTGTCTCAGTATTGATTAAACAAGGCAACATAGGGGCAATTTTGAGATTTTACAGGCTATCCTAGACTTTTTAGTAGACATATTTTACAGTCTACAAATCTGGGCTTTCACATCTATTCGCATCAGTCGAGGAACAATAACAGACTCTTTCAAAAGATGAGAAAAAGAGGAAAAAACGAAGAACAGAATTAATCAATAAGACGGTCATTTCTGGTAGGGAAAAGTTTTTTCATTGCTTGAAGTTGCTTCCTTACCTTGCTTCTATAGCACTCCAGCGGTGAATGAAGTTGCTCACGTTCTCTTCCAAGATGCAGATCTTCGGGTTGGACTCTCCATCAGGATACAAGGTAATGTTCAGTGGGATATAGTCTTTCCCATCCTTGGGAAAAGAAAACAGGACAAGCTGAGGCTCATTTTTCTTTCTTGACTTCAGAAATCATAAACAGTCACATTCCTCTGATTCTCTTAGGAGACCACTTCACCTGAAGCCTTCAGGAGATTAAATTTTCCATTTTATCTCTCTGGGACCCAGCTGTAATATTTTGGCAATGCACTAGCCATGGTAGTTTGTCCAACATACACTTTTCTTTGAGTATTTCTACAGTTATCAAGACAGTTTCCAAGAAGGTCACCTAGCTGGCTTTGTGCCTAAGGCAAGGCTGGAACACACAATCTCCCACTTTCTAGGCCGATGCCTTAACCAAACTGGCATATTTGGAGCCTTAATCCAGATGTTCTAAATTTCAACTCTCAACATCCACAACTAGAGGTGATGGGAGTTATAATCCAAGAACATCTCAAGGGCCACTGTTTCTGTATGCTGCCTAAACTATTAAATTTCTTTGCTTCCTTTCCCTTGTGGCTCCTTTGCTCAACACTTATCTGTTAATCTTCCAAGGAGTTGAATGTAGAGAAGTAAAGCTTGGACCAGTGGGCATAGAACATTGAATCATAAGTCTGGAAGGGATCTTGGAGGTCTTCTAGCCCAACCTCTGCTCAAGGCAGGAGAACTTATCCCTTCCCAGTCAAATTGTTGCCCAGGCTATTCTTGAAAACCTCCAGCGATGGAGCACCCACAACCCCGGGAGGGAAGCTTTTCCATTGATGAATGATTCTTACTGTCAGAACATTTCTCCATACTCCTAGGCTGGATCTCTCCTTAAGAAGCTTCCACCCATTACTTCTTGTCCTGCCCTCAACTGCTTTGGAGAATCAATCAATCACCTTTTCTCTCCAATACTGGAAGACAGTTATCAGGTCCCCCCTAATCCTTCTCTTCGATAGGCTAGCCCAGCGGTTCTCAACCTGTGGGTCGGGACCCCATTTGGGGTCGAACGACCATTTCACGGGGGTCGCCAAACAACACAGTCCGCCATTTTTTTCCCCTTTTCCTTAGCTGTGCTACTCCCTTTTATTCTATTGGCTTTTGAAAGCCAATAGAATAGACTCTCTTGACTAGAGTCTAATTCTATTGGCTTTCAAAAGCCAATAGGAATTGTCAAGGCTGTCTCTGCCCTGCTGAGCCTGCCAAAAGTCCTATTCTGCAAATGGTGCTGCACCAGTTGAGTAGTCCTCGACTTACGACTGGTTGAATAGTCCTCGACTTACAACCGGTTGGGGGTCGTGGCATTAAAAAGGTTGAGAACCACTAGGCTAGACATACCTAGTTCCCTCAACTGTTCAACAATCCTGAGAAGTAGATCAGACTTAAGAATTACAAGGGCATCATGTTCAATTGGGGACACTGAGGTTGAAGCTCATCCTAGCATGTACATAGTCCCTATGTTAGCCCATTGAGAAGAAATCCAGAACATTAGGTGCCAAACTAGTTATTCTTTGCTACGTTTCTTTCATATTATTTAGATACCAGCATTTCTTTAGCTGTTTGCAAGACTCTTAAGAAACCACACATGGTCCCCCTTATTTATCCAACTATAAAACTTGTCTTTTTAAAATTTAACTTGCAGGAAGATTTTTTGCTTCCATTTAGTTGAAGTGTTTTCCACCCAAAGGGGACCATTCTCCTGCATTTTACCTGCTGTACGTTTGCCTGGAGCAGATCCCCTAGACGTTCCACAAGGTTGGTAAAAGTGGGTCTCTCGGTTGGGATACTATGCCAGCAGTCCAACATGGTCTGGTAGCTACACGGGATTAAAAATGGTGACTGAATTTTAAAACTGACAAAGAGCTATCCATCCATCCTTCTACTCGCCAACCCTGTGCCCTGTTGGGCCATCAGAATTTATTTTTTCAGATGAAAGAGAAGCCAGCAGATAACAATTCAGTCAAAATGTCCACTCGGTGTGGCACAAAGGTCCTTCTTAATAGCACGGCTTTGATGAATTAACTCAGGCAGACAGTTCTGCAGTTCAAGTGTGGTACGGGGAAGACCCACTGCCTTTCAAAAGGAATATGAGTTATTATTAATTTAATTTATCAGCAACCCATTTCCCCAACAACTCTAGAGTCCCTGTGGATTTTATTCATCAAAACAATTAAAAAACGAAAGTTAGAATATTTCGGACACGTGATGCAACACCCAGAAAAATACGGCATACTCCATTTAATCCTCCAGGGAACGATTGAAGGCAAACGAGGTCCAGGCAGAAGAAGAACATCGTGGCTTCAAAATCTAAGGGACTGGTTTGGACAAAACTCAGCTGCTCTTTTTCGTGTGGCTGCTGATAAAAACAGGATCGCCAATATGATCGCCAATGTCCGAAAACGGATATGGCACAACAACAACAACAACAAGAAGTTGTTACTGACTACAGGAGGTGCTGCTTATCTCCGTTTCAAGGCCATTGAGCTAGCACTGTCCGAAGACATTTCCACAGTCATGTGGCCAGCATGACATCATGGAGTGCTGTTACCTTCCCACGGAAGTGGTACCTATTTATCTACTCGCATTTGCATGCTTTCGGACTGCTAAGTTGGCAGGAGCTGGGGCAAGGAACAGGAGCTCACTCCATTGCATGGTGCACTTAACCTGGGCTGCTGGCTTTCCAGCCAACAAGCTCAGCATCTTAACCGCTGAGCCACCACACTGCCCCCAACAACTCTGGGCAGCCTATAATTAAATATAGAGGAAAAAGTACTTAGTTTGAATGGCGTTTACATCTACCGTACTTTCCAGCGTATAAGACGACTTTCGAAAGTGTTGAAATCGGTGCCGAAGTCGGGGGTCGTCTTATACGCCGAGTCGTCTTATACGCTGGAAATAATGGTAGTTTCCAGCGTATAACATGACTTTCTAGGCATGCGACTCGGCGCCGAAGTCAGGGGTCGTCTTATACACTGGATTGCCTTGTAGGCCAGAATATACGGTAGTATATCCAAATGTTTTCAGGGAATCATTTAAAAGCAAAAAAGTATTGCCCATTGTGTCTGACCTGGACTGAGAAAACCCAAAGCTTTCCAAAATGATTTTAGTGGCGAGCTAGCTTAGGGAGAAGGAGACTGGGTGTAAAGAATGGGCACTTAGTGCCTAACTATAGATTCTGGAGTTGCTTCATGCACACAGCATTTTGTGGGTCCTGAGTCTGTAGGAAGAGATTTATCTTGAAAAAGAAGTGACAGAAAAGTAAGGTATCAGACAGACCTCAGAAGAAATAAAGGCTCTTGAAGAAATAAAGGCACATTTGTTGTTCTGTACTTGGGGGAATTATGGGGGAACAGAGCAATGTAAAACATCTAGAAATGGATGGGAAAGCTTACATTTCTGGAGTGGAATACTCTGGAGACCTCATCCGTGTTCCTTCTTTGAGACGTCGACAAAAGTCCTCATCAATATGGACTCCTGGATAAGGAGAAGCCCCTGCAAGGATAAATATGGAGCAATGAGTACCATTCAAAAATACAGTTTTCTTGTGTCTCTTCCAGAGATTCTATAATCACAAGGGAAAGGAGTGTGTGTACCACATATGTATGAGTGTCTGTGTGGGTCTCTGTGTGTGATACATTAGACCAGACATATCTAGTTACTCTCTAATAAACGAGGACTGGAATATAATTTCCAAGACTGCATATCCATAAAGCTTTTCCCTGACATTAAATGGTTAATGATATTCTGGGTGAATATCCTTGATGATGCACTGATTCCTGTTAGAGGTTTGACATCCAACTCCTCATCATTGGCATGATGATCTTTAGAAACAATTAAAAATGTGAATGCTTAGAATTTGACTAGAATAATTTGTTGTACACCTTATTTTGGCTTTCGTTAGCTGTAGAAGAGAGAGAATCTCAGTACAGGCTTTTTCAGCTATGTTTCTATCGGACAGAATGAAATGTATGCTTTGGAGAAGATTAAGCTATTTCTTGAAAGTCTTCTGCTGTGAAGTCAGGGACAATTGCAGAAGCCCTTCCCCCTAAAAAAGTCAAGATGGCCTTCACCATGTTGACTTTATGGCCCCTTTGTGAATGCCCCAGATGGAGGGCGTGATTGATTCCTCCCATAGATCAGAAGTATGTATTGTTTTTGCAAGTGATGGGATACACTTAACATTTGAGTGAAAAGACAGGGGCTGTACACTCCAAAAATGGGTGCTTTTAGAAAACTAAATTTCACTTATATCTAATTCAAATCAAATATTGCACTGATGATTTTACCTAGTTTGGGAAGTGAAACGTCTGCAAGAAAACAAGCAAGCTCAGAAAGCAAATCAAATATAGTTATTAAGTTTACTCTGGAGTCATGTCTAATGCCATCACTTCTTTTGGTCTCCATTTTCTGCACATCAAGGGAACACTTGGTGTTGAATGCAGGCTTGCTAACCTCCATCCAGCACCCTAACTATCAGAGTTACCATGCTCCTCTTTGGTCTCATTAAAATGACTACTCGTTAACTTTGAGGACTTTCTGACATTTACCCCCAAGATTCTGGGAAATTTCTAGTGGGCTCTAGAGTCTCATATGTACAAGCCGATGATGCATTCACAAGAAGCCAATGCAGAATGGCTTCTTGAGAATGCATCCTCGTTCACAAGAATCCTTAAATTTAATCATGTAATCATCATTAAAGGCCTGGAGACTAAAAATATGAAGAACTGTTACAGGATTTGGGTTTGGTTAGTCTAGAGAAAAGAAGGACGAGGGGGGACGTGATAGCAGTATTCCAGTATTTGAGGGGTTGTCACAAAGAGGAGGGGGTCAGCTTATTTTCGAAAGCACGAGAAGGCAAGACAAGAAACAATGGATGGAAGCTAATCAAGGAGAGAAGCAACGTGGAATTAAGGAGAAACTTCCTAACAGCGAGGACAATTTACTAGTGGAACAGCTTTGCCTTCAGACATTGTGGGTGCTTCATCACTGGAGGTTTTTAAGACTGTCTGAAATGGTATAGGATCTCCTGCTCGAGCAGGGGGTTGGGCTAGAAGACCTCCAAGGTCCCTTCCAGCTCTATTCTGATTCTGATTCTGATTTAGATATTTAGAATAGAATAGAGCTGGAAGGGACCTTGGAGGTCTTCTAGTCCAGCCCCCTGCTCAAGCAGGGGAACCTATGCCATCTCAGACAAGTGACTGTCTAGCCTCTTCTTAAAAATCTGCAGTGATGGAGCACTCATGATTTCTTTGCAGCAAGCAAGCAAAATGACCATCTTATTCCCTAGTCTTTGAAAGGACATGCTCAGAGCTAAACGTGGATTGTTCCAGAAACTTGTGAAATGCCAAATCAATAACTACGAATCAATAAGAAGTTCTGACAAATGGTCCGGACAGAAAAGCTGTAGAAAGATAAACTCCGGTATCAGCTGTCAGCACCTTGTTATTTGAAATCTTGCAGAAGAGGGATTCCTGCTGTTATGACGCTGAACAAAGATGACAAGGAAACCGAAAAGCATATTGATATATTAGCCTAATACAAATGTCAAGGAGAAAGAAAACCCACACACTTTGAAAGAGCTGAGCAAATTTTAATTCAGCTTGACTTCCTTGAAAAATAGAAGGAAGAAAGAAAAAGCAAAGAACGGTCATCCAGATCTCATTTTGGGTGACAGTGTCATCGCTGGAAAAAAATTTCCACAGGAATCTTGCTGTTACTTTCATTGTGCAGATTTTCTACCATTTATAAATGGATGGTGCTGACCCGTCTCAGCCCAGCTTTTGCTAGATTTTCATCAGACGTTTCTGTGTCCATCAGCAAATATTTCATTAAAAAATGCAACAAGAAATGACATATTGTAGGCATTTGATAATAGCATGTACATATTAGTGGAAGTAGGCCTTGACCCAAAGGTGCTTTTTTCAGGAGGCAACTGGACTTTCTTGTTTTTCTTCAAAGACGTTTTCGCTTCTCTGACTGGATGGTGGGGAATGGAAGGATTTATCCTCCTTGCAGACAGCTGGTCACTTGCATTCTTTTAGAGGGTCGTTGAGGCCACCTGGACGTTTGTCTGTGTCCTCAGGGTCACCTGAGTGGTGCAAATGGGTGTGGAGCCTTCTTGGCTGCAGGAATCTTTCTGCCCTGGGTCCCTTCCTTGTTGAAGACAGGCACACAGCTGTTTGGATTGAGTCTATGTTGTCTGCATCTCAAACTAAAGTGCAAATGGTTCCTGTGGTCTGCAATGATTTCTGGAAATCTGTTCATACTCCCGCACCATTTGAAGGGTGTTCATCCCAAAGTGCAGAGCTAAATGTCTAGACCAGGGGTAGGCAACCTTGGCTCTTTTATGGCTTGTGGACTTCAACTCCCAGAATTCCTGAGCCAATATGGGGGAAACTAAGGCCCCTTTATGACGTGGGGACTTCAACTCCCAGAATTCCTCAGCCAGCACGGGGGAACTATGGCCCCTTCATGACTTGTGGCCTTCAACTCCCAGAATTCCTGAGCCAATATGGGGGAAACTAAGGCCCCTTTATGACGTGGGGACTTCAACTCCCAGAATTCCTGAGCCAGCCATGCTGAGGGGAAAGGGAGAGATTTCCAAGCTGAGCCATGCTGGCTCAGGAATTATGGGAGTTGAAGTCCATGAGTTATAAAAGAGCCAAGGTGGCCTACCCCTGCCCTAGGCCTAGGCTGCTTTATGACTCGTGGACCAACTCCCAGAATTCCTGAGCCAGCCATGCTGAGGGGAAAAGGAGAGGTTTCCAAGCTGAGCCATGCTGGCTCAGGAATTATAGAAGTTGAAGTCCACGATTCATAAAAGAGCCAAGGTTGCCTACCTCTGGTCTAGACCCAGGGACCCAGGGCAGAAAACATCTTGCAGCCAAGAAGGCTCCACACCCATTTGCACTATTCAGGTGACCCTGAGGACACAGGTAAACCTCCAAATGGCCTCAACGACTCTCTAAAAGAATGCAAATGACCAGCTGTCTGCAAGGAGTATAAATCCTTCTGTCCACCACCATCCAGTCAGAGTTGAAGAAGCTTCTACCTATGGGTAGTGGAATCCTGTGTAGGGAGATAGATGTGGGAAAGCATCTGTTTCACTTCCCATTCCCAACTCAAGTCAATACCCTTAATCTTGGATACTTTTCCAATTTGCTCCCAGGCTGGGCTATATTTATCTCATTCATAAGCTGCTTGAAATGAAAGGCAACTGGTTGAACTAATCCTAACTCCCACGTGCATCTTGTATTGCTTTAAAAAGTTGTTTCTTTTTATTTTCTAAAATACAGATGTCTAAAATCATGTCCAAAATGTACATGGGGACATATATATTATTTGACGTTTGCAACCTCTTATGTCTATCATCAAGATGCACACACAAACACATACATGAATGCACAAGCACACAGTACATATGCGCGTGTAAGTTTTGCCACTGTAATACTTTAAGGCATTATTTATTTTTCCATTTTGAGAACTTAGCTACTATTTAGAGTGAAGGATATACTGCATGAAAGGAGAAAAAAAAAGTCCACTTCTGGACTTCCATATGACATCAGTTGTTGGTGTGCCTGGTTAAGATTTTTTGAAAAGGGCTCTGTTAATTTAAAGTCTCTGTTAAATCTGGCTTTGTCCCTGGTGAATTTTTCATTGGCCAGATGGCTCTAGAGGTTGGCCACCCCAATTGCATTTTGGATTCACAGAAAAGCTGATTATAATACTGTAAATGTACAGCTGTGGCCTCTTTAATTGCTTGACTGCCTCCACGCAACCACTATTACAAAAAAAATCCAACAACCCCTCAATCCCAAATGCTTTGTGGGATAGCCAGATAATGATAAAATAACAGTCATTTAAGGGAGTGAAAGCTCCTGTTGCATACTTCTTGCTTTTCGGAAATCTGTCTCTTGATAGCCAGCTTCCTCATCAAAAGTTCATAACTAGCTGATTAAGCTCTAGCTTCGTAATTGTCTCAATTCCTCCATAGCCCCCCTAAGGAGGTGCAGAATGCCCTTCTTTCATAATCTGGGCTCCCTGAAGCTAAGGAAGAAACTGAAAAAAGATTTAATCTGTTTTTAATGCAAATGGAACCTCAATTGAGGGAACTCGGTAGGTTTAGTCTAAGGAAGAGAAAGACTAGGGAGTGATACGATAAGAGTCTTCCAGTACGTGAGGGGCTGTCACAGAGGGGAAGGGGTGGACTTATTCTCCAAAGACCTGAGGGTAGGACTAGAAGTAAGAGATGGAAACTTATCAAAGAGGGATCCAAACTAGAATTAAGGAGGAATTTCCTGATAGTGAGAACAATGAATCAATGTTTGCTGATGCTCCTTCCTTGCCCTTCTTCCATCAAGCAGACTTGGGCTGCTTCATCAAATGCTTTTCCTTCCATTCCATTTGCACTTTAGCCTTGGGGGGGGGTCCCAAGCAGAGTTCTCCTCCATTCCCCACCCCCCCTCCTCATCCATGCTTGCATAGCATCACTTAGGATCAACGGAAGGCAACCGATCACTCTAAGTAGGACAAATGATCAAATCCACCCCAGGGTCTTTGCTCAAGTTGAATGCAAGAAAGGTCATTAAATGGGGCAAAATTCACTAAAGAAATGTCTCGCTTAGCAACATAAATTTGGTCCTCAGTTGCGGTTGTAACATGAGGATTAGCTATACATTCATTTAGTGACCATTCAAAGTCACCTACAAAACTGAAACTTGGGTTACCACCATCGTCACATGTCCTTTTCCTGTTGTCTGTCCTGCCACCTTCCTTCCTCTGTTTTCCCCCCTATTTTTAGAGTATGACCCGCAGGGAAGCAGGAAGCCCAGCTTCATATTTATTTATTACTTTCCTTCCCTGATCTGCTCAAGCTTATAATTCAAACTCCCTTCTAGATGATTATCACCTCCAGTCTGTGAATACATTCGGTGGAGGAATCGGAATAGATCAGCTTCACTGCTTGCAATCTGTTGAAGGATTTAAATCCATAGCTCTCGTTTGCTTGATATTTGCAACTTGTTTTTGAATGGGACTCACATATAATTATTTGTTCCCCTGAATCACCCAGCCTTGTTTCTGGGAGATGCTAAATGAGGGGGGGGTCTGAGGGGAGGGGACAAAAAGGTAAGGATGGTTCCTGTGACCACCTGAAGAAGCAATGGATGGAAATTAACCAAGGAGAGAACCAACAAGGAGAAAATTTCCTGACAGTCCAAACAATTAACCAATGGAACGGAAGTTGCCTCCAGAAGCTGTGGGTGCTCCATTATTGGAGGCTTTTAAGAAGAGACTGGATAGCCATTTGTCTGGAATGGTATGCCCCCTTTACAACCTGTGGACTTCAACTCCCAGAATTCCTGAGCCAAGAACCAGAACTGAACATCGGAGAACCCAGCCAGCAAACTCTTGACCTTGACCAGAATACTGGTGCACAAAACCTAATAGTAGGAGCTCAGGATGTTACTAGACTTTCCATCTCATGCTAAAAGGTATCTTTGGGAAACTCCTCCTAAAGTATGCAGCCAACAGGATGGGCAGCTGCCGCCGTTTCTCACATAGTTTACTGTATTTCTAACTTATGTGCTGGTGCTGACAGGAAATGTGTCTCTTGAAGACGTAGCAGAAAATGTCCACGCTGGGTTTAGTCCTGGAGCAGCGGAATCCTCTACAGTTGCTGTTCTCATGTTCCTTTATCTGCAGGCAGTCTTCAAGGTATGACTGCAGTGGAAACTGCCCATTTTGTCATAAGTTGTGACAGTTGTCAAGCAGGTCAACCAAACGACCGATCTGACTTTATCACCTTTTTTGTGATGGTCATTAAGTGGACCAATTGTTCTCTATGGGTTGACTTTACTGGAAGTTGGACGTACAGGCTGGTTTCTGGCAAAAATCTCTTAAAATCCAGTCACGTGACCACAGGATGCTGCAAATGTAAGCCAGTTGCTGAGCAGCCAAAATATGGCCACGACTGTGAAGAAGAGGGGCAGCCATCAGAACTTTAACCCCAGGGAGATCTATCGTACCATTGACAAGTTGCTAAGCAAGCAGTGGTAAGTCAAGGACCACCTTTATAAGATGTTTATGAAGAATCTCAGTCATCCAAGTGATGGTTTGTCCCAAAGGTGCTTTTTCAAAAGGCAATTGAACTTTCTTGTTTTTTTTTCCTTTGAAAACATTTTTCTTCTCATCCAAGAAGCTTCTTCAGTTCTGACTGAATGGTGGAGAATGGAAGGATAAATCCTTCCATTCTCCACCATTCAGTCAGAACTGAAGAAGCTTCTTGGATGAGAAGCAAAACGTCTTCAAGCAAAAACAAAGAAAGTTCAGTTGCCTTTTGAAAAAGCATCTTTGGGACTACCTGTATTAGAGTTACGTCCTTTTTTCAGGAACACATCCACCTTTCACCTCTGTAGCCATTCCCTCCCTTGTAACCTCTGAGGTTTTCACCAGCCAGGTCCAGACAAGTCTTAAGATTTGATTGCTGCCAAAACTGTTGATGCCAGAAGTATTAGTTATTACAAGGCTGTGCCTTAGTTTAATTGCCTTTGATTGCATTGTTTTGCATTGGCTGTGCTGCTATGGTTCCCTATACAGTAATCAGGACCCCTTGCCTCAAGTGGTTTATACATTTCATAAATAAATAACAATTGTTTGGTTAAAAGATTACCCTTGACCCAAGTCAGCCCTATAGGTGAGGCTGGATTCAACTTAGATTTCTCTGCTGCTAGTCCAATATCTTCAGCCCCCTCCCACGTTGGAACTGTAAAGGGGGGAATGTGCGCAGCAGTTCCCACTCATCAAGTGCTCCAGGTTAGGAATGAACGAAAGAGGCTGTTGACAGCAGGTTGGCTGCAACACAGATTTTGTTGCCCTTATAAGGGAAATATGCTTTCCTTCTAAAAAAGGACCTGCTTAAATAATAAATGTAGTTTAGGATCCAATCTGGCTTGGTTTAGTCTTCCCAGCTTTCAGATTTGTGTTGGAGCCCATCTGTCAGGAAACTTCTCCCTCTCCAGAATGTCTGCTTTGGGCGATTCTATGAGCCGAGGACTTGGCAGCACAAGGAAACAAGAGCCAACGACTTAATAATCGGCCATCAACAACCCAATCAACAACTAAAAACCCAGGGACCACATAAATACTGTGCATCGAATAGCCCAAAGCACACATTTTGGTGAGAGAGAAGTGCCCCGAGGATTCAGCACAAGTCCAAAAGCTCGAAAGACTAAGCCTCTGGTACCAGTGACCGACCCAGATTGGATCCTGCAACATTATCCAGGGACCACATATTCGCCTTCATTCATGGTTTAATTTGGTCAATTTCCAGTAGTAAATGTCCCACTCTGATATCCTTTTACGACATTAAGAGCGCATACTTCTTTTACTTAAAATCAAAGCAAGGAAAAACAATCTTACCCAGGGAAAATATTTCCCACAGCAGCACACCAAAGGACCAGACATCACTCTGAGTTGTGTAAATTTTGTCAAAAATTGCTTCTGGAGCCATCCATTTCAGGGGCAGCCTGGCCTGGGAAAGGAAAGAAGCACAAAGTTGCTGTGTTATCCAAGATGGACGGTCAGGTAAACGTACATTGTTGTGTTACAGCGCAAACTCAACCCCTTTCGTATTTGCTTGTGACATTGTGATGCAAGTTAAAAAAAAAGGTGGAGCTTGTGTTGCAATGCTGGGGGGTGCATTGTATTTTAGATGGTATCCTCATGATTAGGAAAGAAGACCGAGCTGTGTTACCAATCTGAATTGGATATTAAATACATTGATCAAAGCATGTGTATCCTATTCAATATGACAGGGGTGGGGGGCGTGGGGGGCAGGGATGAATAACATTTGTGATTAATGATGTCAGAGAAAGTCAGATGACAGGCCCCAAGAAAAGAACGAAACATAGAGTTATTTCTGGGCAGTTTCCCTTATTGTTTTCCACCGATAGACAGAATCTTGCCAGTCTAAAGCAACTATCTGCTTTGGAACTGCTAGAGAGGAACCATTTCAACTCTCTTCCTTGCTGATTAAACTTTCCAAGGTCTTCTTCCTCTTTGCTCCATGGAAATCAGCTCCTCCCTCCTAGGAACCCAGCCCACATTCCACCACATGAAGGGCACAACTGGGGAAAGGGTCTTACAACACCCAGCCCCATACTTACATCCCCTTTCCGCACATAATCAGGATCTTTGTATATATCTCTGGCCAATCCAAAATCGCAAATCTTCACCACGTTATTTTGAGAAAGAAGAATGTTCCTGGCAGCCAAATCTCTATGTATGCACTGGAATGAAAAAAAGAAATAAAAGGAAATCAGGGGGGAAAAAATCAATGACCGTTATCTAGTACCAAGGAAAGATGGTGGCCTGAAAAAGCTCAAGAGGGTGTCTCTGACTGTTCAACTGGAGCCCTGGCCATCTTCACTGGTGCCACAGATAAAATGGGAAGTGCTGAGATCACATACTTATGGACAAGATCTTGACCTTTTGATTCTCTACTTCCAAGGATGTCTCTGTTCATTTCTGCAATTTAAAGTTCTCTGGTGTCATATGACATCTTAGAGAACTGAAGGAGGACCATCAGGTAAATTTTGACTATGTGTTTGTGGAAGATCATGTGCTGTGTGATGTTCCACAAGCATTACACTTGGCATGTTTCATAAGAATCCAGAATGGGTTGGTTGGATACTGTGGAACAAGTTGTCTATGGAGATTCTCGGTCATCCAGGTTATGGTTGTTCCAAAGATCCCTTTTCAAAAGACAACGGGGCTTTGTTTTTCCTAGAACAGCGATGGCGAATCTTTTAGAGACCGAGTACCCAAACTGCAACCCAAAACCCACTTATGTATCATCGGGTGCTGGGTGGGCGTGGCCCATTGTGTAGGTGTGGCCCATTGTGTGGATGTGGCCTGTTGGGTGGGTGTGGCCCATTGGGTGGGCATGTTGTGGTGGTAATGGCAGACTGGGTGGGACTAAAAAGTTCAATCAATTTCAACTTTGTGAGATCTTTTTTTTCCTGCGAGAAATTGAAATTGATTGATTGATTGAACCTTTTTTTTTTTTTGCACACAGCAGCAGAGGCCTAAAACAAAAAGGTTTTATAAAACCCAGCTGAAGGCCTAGGACTGGGGCAACGGTGCATGTGCCCACAGAGAGGGCTCTGCGTGCCACCTGTGGCACGCGTGCCATAGGTTTGCCACCACGGTCCTAGAAGATGTTCCGCTTCTCATCCAAGAAGCTTCTTCCAACTTGTGGAACAAGTTAGGAGTAGACCTACCCAGTGCTTTTTTTTGTAAAAAAAAAAAAAAGGTGCTGGAACTCACACACGTCATACAACCCGCCTTGCCTACCCTACAAGGTTCCATCCAAAAAAGGTGCCAGAACTCCATTCTGGGCGTTCTATGACAAAAAAAGCCCTGGACCTACCTATATTTGGGTGTTATGTTTTGTGTAATTTTTAGCACTTGCTTGAATTCTGAATCCCTATGAAGCACTAAAATCTTTCCAAGCAATAAATACCTCCAAAGGGCTCCTTTGATACCTCCATATATAAAACAGGATTGCATTTTGCTAATTAAATTTTTATCACAACTTCTGAATCTCGTTCCATTACATCCAGCTGATGGTTACATAAATAGGTTTTCCCAATACTTATTAATTCTTGTCTGAACCTGAAGAATAGAACTCCAGTTGTTCTACTCCTGCTTTGTTGGAAATGTTGGACGGCATTAAAAAAAGATCACCCATAATAATAAAGCGCTAGAAATAACAGGAGGAAAATCTGGATCATGCCTAAAATGGTTCTGGATGATCATTGGCTGGCTGGATGTCTAATAGCCCAGTAAATGAATATATAATTTGACATGAGTTCCCAAGCCCATTTTAGTTTAGGCCAGCATAGTGTTTCTCAACTTGGCATCTTTCAAGATGTATAGAGTAGACTGCAATATCCTGGACTTCCTAGTCAGGTTTCCTGTTGCTTAAAATTTTGAGAGTTGAGATCCATGCATCTGGAATTTTGTGACATTCGGGAAACACTAATTTAACTTGTTCTGTGAACCCAGCCATCATTTTTGACACCTCTTGCAACAAGACTTACTTTTCTTGAGGCCAGAAACTCCATGCCTTTAGCTACCTGGAAGCTGTAGCAAATCAAGTCCTCCAAAGTCAGAGGCCGCTTGTAAAGATCTTCAGCATCTAGGACAAAGCAATGGATGATCTGAGCCAGGGATGCAAAGGAACATTTTTGCAGTAAAGACCCACCTACTTAGAGGATGACCAGAGATCTGTATTGAGGTCTCCTCCAGCCCTATGATTGTATATTCTGTGTCCACAAAAAGGCTAATGTAGCAAGCTCAAAGCTACAAAATCAGATGGCCCATCTTTGCTAAGAATATGACCAAGAGGATGTGGAGGCTTTTTAATTTCCTCCAACCTGCTCACACATTCGCAGATGGAGCAGTCCTGGTGTAGACCAGAAGGAGACAGATCTCCAGAATTGGAAATTCAAAGAGACCAGAAAGTGGGTGTTCACTGACCTTCTTCTTCTGAATCAGAATCTGTGTAACTCTTGTCTTCAACAAATCCAGAGCTGGCAGAACTGCCCGTGCTGGCCACGCTTTCGAGACGCCTCTTAATGAGCTCTGTTAAGTCACTTATCGACTCCTTCAATGCTTTCTCTGAGCAGTCTGAATTTTCTGGTGACTAGGGATGAAAAAAGACCTCTTAAAGAAGCCCGTTATTACTCACGGGGAGGGTTCAAACAACATGCTAAAACGGGAGACCGAGGTTCACAAAAGAAATTGGCAAGTTTTGCATAACATGCTATGTCTACTTAACTGAGTCACTGTTTGCTTTATAGTTCATAAATCAAGCTAGCACCACACTGCCCCGTCTTCAAACTACACTATCCATTTTTCATTTGTTAGCCACAACTTAATTAAGCATGAGGGCAAAGCCCCCCAAAAGATTAATCTTTCATTTTGCATAAGAGTCTCCCTAAGGATCTCCTGCTTGAGCAGGGGGCTGGACTAGAAGATCTGCAAGGTCTCTTCCAGTTCTGTTCTGATGCTGATTCAAATGTCAAAGAAATGACATACATGGTTGAATTTGATCCCTGTAATTTCCCTGCTCCATGAGCTGCATTGGCTGTTAGTCTGCTTCTGGGTGTAATTCAAGATGTGGATCATCACTTTTAAAGCCCTACATTGCCTGGGTCCAGGTTACTTGAGGGACCATCTCACCCCATTGGGATTGGCCCATCCTGTTTGTGCCAGCAGAGTAGGCACGCTGAGGATCCCATCAGCCTGATTATTCTGGCTGGAGGGATCCAGGAGGAGGGCCTTCTCTGCTGTTGCTCCTGCCCTCTGGAACATTCCCCCCCCCCCAAGTAAGGTTAGCTCCAACCCTCCTGACACAAAGAAGAGGAGGTCAACTTATTTTTCAAAGCACCAGGAGGTAAGATGTGAAACAAGGAATGGAAACTGACCAAAGAGAGAAGCAACCTGGAATTAAGGAGAAACTTCCTAACAGTGAGAACAATTAACCAGTGGAACAACCTGCCTCCAGAAGTTGTGAATGCTCCAGCAGTGGAACTTTTTAAAAAGAGATTGGATAGCCATTTGTCTGAAATGGTGCAGGGTTTCCTGCCTGAGCAGGGGGTTGGACTAGAAGATCTTCAAGGTCCCTTCCAACTCTGTTATTCTGTATGCTGCCAGGTGGCTCAGGGTTCCAAACACACTGGGGGTAGTTGATTGATTAACAACAGATCCCACCTCCCTCCCGTGCTGCTCCCACCCTCCCCGTCTTCTAATTGTGTTGCAGTGTTTGACTTGTTGTGCTAACTTTTTTATGTTTTTAGTTTATATAGTTTTATCTTCTACGATTGTAAGCCATCCAGAGTTAACTTGAGGAAAGATGGGCAGCCAATAAATTTTACAAACAAACACATTTACTCAAACCCAATCCTCACTTGGACAAGAAATAAAACCCCTTTCCATCTGAAGATTTTTTAAAAGGAGAGGCATATAATTTACCTTGCATATAATGAAATCCGCTCGTTTCCCTCTCAGGTAATTAGACAGATTTCCATACTTGCAATATTCTACAATGACCATCAGAGGACCTGCAGACACGATCAAAAGAAAGTTCACAAAATGATAACACATGGGCACATCGTAGGAATAAGCAAAAGCAAGTAAACATCTGCCTTGCAAACACAGAAGGAAATAGGCAACGGATAAAAGAAGTAGGTCAGAAAACTGGGGCCAGGAAGTGAGAAACACACACTGGCTAATGGCCACATTTTCTGGTTAATGGGACAGACACCAGCTTTTACTTGCTGATGGGTGTTTGTGCAGATGTTACCTTGCTCCCTGCTATCCCTGTTAGCGATTAAAGGTCTTACAGTTTGTCTCTCCATCCTTCTGAACATGCCTCTTTGCCCCACTAACAGCAGTTGTGAGATTAATTAGCACCATTAGTTGCCATCAAAGACACCACCGTTTCCATTAATTAGGAGACTAACGTCAGAGCTTGGCCTACATATAAGAGCTGTTTAGCTTTGGCCATTCTGGACTTGGTTGCTGACTTTCCCACATCAAACAATGCTGGGTAAATCTGAAGAAGCAACACAACAAGATTGTTATGCAGAAAGTTGGGCAGGTTAAGGATCGTGGATTTCTTCAAGCTTGAAATGATTTTGTTAAAAAGAACAAGCTCTGCCTCTTTGGGGCACACCTGCAACATTGCAAGGGACTATGCTGAGCTCTTGTGAAGCAACTGAGATACAAATATAATCCTCTCCCCTCCCCTCCCCTCCCCTCCTCTCCTCACTCGTCTGGTCTTGTCTTGTCTTGTCTGGTCTTGTCTCCTCCTCCCCTCCTCTCTTCCTGTCCCCTCCTCTCCTCACTCATCTGGTCTTGTCTTGTCTTGTCTTGTCTCCTCTCCTCTCCTCTCCTCCTCCCCTCCCCTCCCCTCCCCTCCCCTCCTCTCCTCCTGTCCCCTCCTCTCCTCACTCGTCTGGTCTTGTCTTGTCTTGTCTTGTCTTGTCTTGTCTCCTCTCCTCTCCTCTCCTCCTCCCCTCCCTCCCTACCCGTCCTCTCCCTCCTCTCCTCATCGTCTGGTCTGTCTTGTCTGGTCTTGCTCCTCCCTCCTCCCCTCCCCTCCCCTCCTCTCCTCCCATCCCTCCCTCCTCACTCGTTGGTCTTGTCTGTCTCCTCTCCTTTCCCTCCCCAATCCCCTCCTCTCCTTCCTCACATCGTGTCTGGTCTTTTCTGGTTCTGGCTCTTGTCTCCTCTCTTCTCCTCCTCCCCTTCCCCTCCCTCCCCTCCTTCTTCCTGTCCCCTCCTCTCCTCACTATCGGGTCTTGTATTGTCCTAGGTCTCGTACTCCTCTCTCCCCATCCCACCTCCCCTCCCTCTCTACTCCCGTTCCCCTCCTCTCCTCATCATCTGGTCGGTCTTGTCTTGTCTAGGTCTGATCTCTCTCATTCCCTCCCCTCCCTCTACTGTCTCCTCTCCTCCCTCCCCTCCTTACCTCAACTCGTCTCGGTCTTGTCAGGTCTTGTCTAGGTCTTGTCTACCTACTACTAGTCCCCTCCCCTTCAGACATCCTCTCTCCTATCTCTCCTCCCAGTCTATCCTCTCCTCTCCCGACTTCATCTTGTATTGTCTTGGTGGCTGGTCTTGTATCTCCTCCTCCCCTCCCCTCCACCTCGCATCTCTTCCTGTCCCCCTAACTCTCCTACACTGATCTGGTCTGTCTTGTCTGGTCTAGTCTCCTATTCTCCTCCTCCCTCACCCTCCCCTCATCTCCATCCGCCCTCTCTTCTCCCACTATGATCTGGTCTTGATCTTGTCTTGTCTTGTCTGGTCTGTCTCCTCTCCTACTTCCCATCCAACTCCTGCTCCTCTCCATCGTCCTCCCGTACTGCTCCTCTCCTCTCAAACTCATCTTGTATTAGTCTTGTCTGGTCTGGGCTTGTCTCCTCCTCCCCTCCCCTCCCCTCCTCTCCTCCTGTCCCCTCCTCTCCTCACTCGTCTGGTCTTGTCTTGTCTTGTCTTGTCTGGTCTTGTCTCCTCTCCTCTTCCCCTCCCCTCCTCTCCTCTCCTCTCCTCCCGTCCTCTCCTCTCCTCTCCTCACTCATCTTGTCTTGTCTTGTCTGGTCTGGTCTTGTCTCCTCCTCCCCTCCCCTCCCCTCCTCTCTTCCTGTCCCCTCCTCTCCTCACTCGTCTGGTCTTGTCTTGTCTGGTCTTGTCTCCTCTCCTCTCCTCCTCCCCTCCCCTCCCCTCCTCTCCTCCTGTCCCCTCCTCTCCTCACTCGTCTGGTCTTGTCTTCTCTTGTCTGGTCTTGTCTCCTCTCCTCTCCTCCTCCCCTCCCCTCCCCTCCTCTCCTCCCGTCCCCTCCTCTCCTCACTCGTCTGGTCTTGTCTTGTCTTGTCTGGTCTTGTCTCCTCTCCTCTTCCCCTCCCCTCCCCTCCTCTCCTCTCTCCCGTCCTGTCCTCTCCTCTCCTCTCCTCACTCATCTTGTCTTGTCTTGTCTGGTCTGGTCTTGTCTCCTCCTCCCCTCCCTCCTCCCTCCTGCTCTCTCTGTCCCTCCTCGCCTCCTCACTCTCTGGTCTTGTCTTGTCTTGTCTGGTCTGGTCTGTCTGGTCTTGTCTCCTCTCCTCTCCTCTCCTCCTCCCCTCCCCTCCTCCTGTCCTCTCCTCACTCGTCTGGTCTTGTCTTGTCTTGTCTGGTCTGGTCTGGTCTGGTCTCCTCTCCTCCTCCCCTCCCCTCCTCTCCTCCTGTCCCCTCCTCTCCTCACTCGTCTGGTCTTGTCTGGTCTTGTCTCCTCTCCTCCTCCCCTCCCCTCCCCTCCTCTCATATTGACAAGAACTTGCTTTTCCAACCATGCTCAGCAGAGATCCAATAACCCCCTCAGTGATGCCAAGATCAAAGCCAACATGTATTTATTCTTTCATTTATTTATTTCTGCACTGCCTTGGAACATCGTGACTCAGGATGGTTTACATAATAAATCAAAGCAAATCAGATGCAACCAGAGTTCCAAAGGCAGGTCGGGTTTACCATCTGCCCCAAAAGCCTGTTTGAGGAAGATGGTTGTTCCACATGACAAAAAGGTGGGTCACCTCGATTCTAACAGTAAAAGGAACTTCTAGAATGGGGTCATCAGGGCTGAGAATCTTCCCATCCCTGTGCTATCACGAAGACTTAAATGTCTTTTTTTGGGTGGCTTCAAGTCAGTCTTGATTGGGCTAGTCCCTGGATCTTTTCTTGGCAAGATTTCAGAGGAGGCTCGCTATTGCCTCCTTCCTAGAGTTGAGAGTAACTGACTGGAGTAACATCAGCCAACTGGTTTTGTATCTAAGTCAGGACAAAAACTCATAGTCTCCTGGTTTCTAGTCCAATGCCTTAAGCACTACGTCAAATTGGGTCCTCAAGTGTGTTATAAAGAAATGACAGTGGGTAGCAGCCTGGAAATCTTGCCAGGAAATCCTCCTATGTGGCTTAGATTAGGACAGTGTTTCTCAACCTTGACAATTTTAAGGCATGTGGACTTCATCTCCCAGAATTCCACAGCCAGCAATGCTGGCTGTGGAATTCTGGGAGTTGAAGTCCACATGCCTTAAAATTGTCAAGGTTGAGAAACACGGGATTAGGAGGTTCAAAAGAGGTTGATGGCCAACCCTATCCAAAGCAACATAGCAATAGCACTTAGGCTTACTGTGTATACCGCTTCACAGGGCTTTGCAGCCCATCTCTAAGCAGTTTACAGAGTCGGCCTCTTGCCCCCAACAATCCAGGTCCTCATTTTACCAACCTCGGAAGGATGGAAGGCTGAGTCAACCTTGAGCCAGTCAGGATCGAACTCCTGGCAGTTGGCAGAGTGAGCCTGCAAATACTGCATCCTCACCACTGCGTCATCAGGGCTCATGTCCACTGTGGTCATATCCATCTCACCAAAAGGATCAAGTTCAACTGCAGAGCTGTTTAACTATTTATTTACTAAAATTTGTACAATGCCCAAATCCCAGCAAATTGTGTTTCCCCCCCCCATTCTACCCATATCACACCCAATCAATATTTCAAAGGAATGATCTGGAGCCACGCGGTAGTCGTATGGGAAAAGATTGACAGCCCATCTGTTGCAAAGCCTAGTTTTTTTCTTGGTTTTCTCCTTATAGGAGAAAAAAAAGCTCAGCTTCCTGAAATGATGTGAATTTTTTTTTTTTTTGCTTTTTCCTATTAGCAAATTGTCCATCACCAGGGAGGTCCAATCTGAGCCCCAAGGCTTTACATAAACCCTGAACCTGCAAAGTCAGTTGCCAAATTGGAATTTAAAATGTGATAGGTAGGAAAATGATTAAATGCATGCCTGGAGAATCATTTCCACATAACCATCAAATCTAGTTTATGTTCTTTTCCTATTGATTATTGCAGAATGCATCTTACATTGCGTAAGCCAAGTACAGCCTGAGGCATGGTAAAAAAAAAAAACTGCTTACCTTATCTAGCTCATATTTTGATTCTTATTTCTTTGGTTTGCTCTATTTCCTCCCTTGCACTTACCCTCTTTTGCTTTTTGAATGTAACTTATATAAAACTCAGTGCCAAGTCTTTCCTAACGTAGTGATTTTAGTGGAACTGCATTTAATACTAATCATTGGTGCTTACTTCCTCCTATTTCGGCCAATCCAAAGCCACGATAGCTACTGCTTTATTTCCCTGTTTTTCTAATCGTTTTGCATGATAAATTAAAAGTAATTTTCCTGCATTCTAAATCCTCTACGAGTGAAACTGATACTGAAACCAACATTATAATTTTAATTAAACATATCCTGCAAAGATTTGGAGAACGCCCCAAGGATTCCTGTTGGTGGTGGCAAGAAGAAGGAGAAAACAAGATTTTGCACTGACCCCACCCCCCCCCCAAAAAAAATTCAGGTGAGGTTTCTCAAAATAAAATATCTTGGTGTCCATATATTTTCTATCATATCTTGGTGTGCAGAGAAGAGCAAGAAAGATGATCAGGGGTCTGGAGACTAAACCATATGATGATTGAGGGGGACCAGGTATATGTTTAGTCGAACAAAGAGAAGGTTTAGGGGTACCATGCTAGCTGTTTTCCAGTACAGTCACAGAGAAGAGGGGATTGACCTATTCTCCAAAGAGGTCAGGACAAGAAGCAATGGCTAAAAGATCATTAAAGAGAGAAGCAACCTAGAACTAAGGAGAAATTTCCTGACACTGAGAACAATTAATCAGTGGAACGGCTTGCCTCTGGAAGTTGTCGGTGCTCCATCACTGGAGATTTTAAAGAAGAGACTGGACAGCCATTTATCTGAAATGGTATAGGGTTTCCTGCTTGATTAGAAGTACAAGAAGTACAATTAACTAATTAATTTGACATATTAATTCCAATCAGTGGAATGGCTTGCCTTCAGAAGTTGTGGGTGCTCCATCACTGGAAGTCTTTAAGAAGAGACTGGACAGCTGTTTGTGTGGAATGGTGCAGGGTCTGCTGCTTGAGCAGGGGGCTGGACTAGAAGACCTCCAAAGTCCCTTCCAGCCCTGTGATTCTATGCTCTATGTCCTACCTTTCTTCTCTTCTAGAGTTACCAGCTTTGTGCTGGACAAAGGAGTCAATTATAGCTAGGCATGCAATATACTTGTATTCCATGACTCATTTCTTGATAGAAAATAATTAGAGGAACTCCCCGCCACCCCACCAAGAAAAAAAACCACAGTTGGAATAGCAAGTCAGCCCTCTAGCTTGGGCCATTTCTCCTGCTTCCTTCCACCATTACAATGCCATTGCCTGCCAAAGTTGTCTAAATCTATCATTTTCAAAAGGAAAATCATGTCGGGGAGAAAATGAAAAATTATTATTACACACCTCAATTCTAGCCTAACAGTGGGGAATCCCAGTTCAGTCTATCAGTCTAGCACTATTTACCCAGCTGGATCTTGACTGCATTGTGAGATGTTCGTTCAGGTACAGCCAGCCTCATAAATGCTTCATGAATGCTTTATAAACAACGGGGGGGGGCTGCATTTTTATGGTGCTGTGTTGTGCCTGTGCTTCTTGGATAGAAAAATTGGCGCGTGTGTGTTTATGTGTGTGCAACAGGGAAAATATGCTTGCCTCCAAATACGTGCGGTCGCTTAGTTCTACTAAATCTTCCAACTTCAGCTTCTTTGTGGGTATCCTGAATGAATTATTTTAATCCTAGAGACAGTTTTGCTTTCCAGTACAGAAAATGCAGAAGCCAATCTGTGCAAACTGGGTAAAATCCTGTGTGAATTAAGATATATATTCAGTGGTGGGATTCAAATAGGTAAGCAACTGGTTCTCTGTGTGGATGCCGCTTCCGGAAGTCCATTCTGGGCCCGGGCAACAAAAAATTAACTACTGGTTCTGCTGAAGTGGTGCGAACCGGCTGAATCCCACCACTGTACATATTATATCTTCATATATACTTCATATATATCATGATTCAGACAGGATTTTGTGAATTTGTGATATATATATATGAACCGTGGTGGCACAGTGGTCAGAATGCAGTATTGAAGACTATCTCTGCCCACTGCCAGGAGTTTGATCCTGACCCATTCAAGGTTGACTCAGCCTTCCATCTTTCTGAGGTTGGTAAAGTGAGGACCCAGATTGTTGGGGGCAAGAGGCTGACTCTGTAACCCGCTTAGAGAGGGTTGTAAAGCACTGCAAAGCGGTATAGAAGTCTAGTGCAGAGGAAGAAATAATAAAAAAATACTAGACTGTGCAGAAATGGACAGACTTATTTTGAGATTGAAAAAAAAAGAAGAAACAAAATATTTTCAGACTCGGGACTTATTTTACCAATGGTTGGAGAAATGAACTAGGGATTAGGAATTTAATTTGTATTAGTGAATGATGAACTCAGGCAACTTGTTTGTTGAATAAGCACTGTTGAATTGTATTAAAAAATCAATAAAAACTTAAATTAAAAAAAGTCTAGTGCTATTGCTAGCTTCCCTGCTTTTCCTTCCTTCCTTCCTTCCTTCCTTCCTTCCTTCCTTCCTTCCTTCCTTCCTTCCTTCCTCCCTCCCTCCCTCCCTCCCTCCCTCCCTCCTTCCTTTTTCTTCCTACTTTTGCTGTGGTGGTGCAGTGGTCAGAATGCAGTATTGCAGGCTAACTCTGCCCACTGCCAGGAGTTCGATCCTGACCGGCTCAAGGTTGACTCAGCCTTCCATCCTTCCCAGGTTGGTAAAATGAGGACCCAGATTGTTGGGGGCTATAGGCTGACTCTGTAAACCGTTTAGGGAGGGCTGTAAAGCCCTGTGAAATGGTATATAAATCTAAGTGCTATTGCAATAAGGAAGATCTATCAGAAAAAAAAATAGTACCGGCTTCTGACTTTTGTATAGATAGGCCATCTTGTGCTTTCTATATCTTAGGGAGTTTTAATTTGCTGTGGGAGGTGTAGTCCAGGACAACTGCATGGCAGCCAATTGCTTCCCTGCCCTGTATTACATGCAAGAAATCTTTCTGGTGCAGTTGAGGTGGTCACACTTCACCTGAATATAGTTTAATTCATCACCTATAAGGAGAATCCTCTTTTCAGTACTAATGTCTTAGTCATTGAAGCTACCTGGGTGATTTTGGGCTAATCACTCTTTCTCAGCCCAAACCCACCTCACAATTGTGGGGAAAATTGAAGGAGGAAGGTGCTTTGGATATGTTCGTTGCCTTGAGTTATTTGTAAAAATAATAAAGGCGGAATACAAATAAAAGTAAATAAAAATTAATATGAAAGTTTGGGGTTTTGTCTCAGGTTACAGAACGAAGGAATCAGCTAACACTCACCTCCAGGCTTGGTACAGGCCCCCAGTAGGTTGACCACATTTAGATGATGTCCAATATGGATCAGGATCTTCAATTCCGACATGAGGGCCTTGCACTCGTTGGTCGTTGCACACTCTGCTTGAGAAAGAGGACACAAGCATCTTTACACAACAGGATATCAGCAACAGGAAGAGTCAAATCCTGTTTATAGTTTGAAAGGGAAGCAAACACCGCCATGGGAAAAAACAAAAGGACGCCCTGATCTCTTTTAGGGTCTCTGTGTATTATTTCTCATCAGATAAGGCCCAATTTCCTGCCTTGATCTTCTCAAAGGTTCTTATCTGCAAGGAGAAGTTGAGCTGTTTTGGAAAACCTTCTCTGCTCCCAATTTCCTGCTAGGAGAGCACAGTAGAATGTTGACCATGTCAACAATCAAAGTTCTAAAAGTTGTTGCCACTTTTTGTTGCCTCTAGAGGTCTATATAATCTGGGTGGACGGAGATACCCAAAGCATTTAGATCAAGGGAGAGACTTGGTTTTAGAGGTTGTCTTAAAGATCAGGATGATCAATCATTCATAAGGTGGATTAAGACTCAATCTTGGCAGAAAGGGGCCCCAATTTCATTCATTGCTTGAATTTTATTAATTATTGCTAATACAGTCCCATGGCAGTTTACACTACAATTTGACTTCTCTTCATTTACTCTTGAATTAAATCTCCTTCATTGCCTTCCATTGGCACGATTAATTTTCTTTCTTCTCCATTCAAGTTTACCTCCATTCAGTACTACCATCCAGAAGAACTTTGGGATTCTATCCAAGGCTTTGAAAGACTAAATGCAGGCTCAAGAACTGAAGTTGGGTATGTCTACTAGCAAGAGATGGCCATAACAGTGCAACTTAATTAAGCAAAGGGAGGAGGCCATTTCAAAATGGAAGGATAAGAAGAACGGTTGCAGGAATTGGGTATGTCTAGTCTAGTGAAAAGAAGGACTAGGGGTGCCATGATAGCAGTCTTCCAATATCTGAGGGGCTGCCAGAAAGATGAGGGGGTCAACCCATTCTCCAAAGCCCCAGAAGGCAAGACAACAGACAATGGATGGAGACTAACCAAGGAGGGAAGCAACTTAAAATTAAGAGAAACTTCCTAACAGTGAGAACAATTAACCAGTGGAACAGCTTGCCACCAGAAGTTGTGGATGTTCTATCACTGGAGGCTTTTAAGAAGAAACTGGACAGCCATTTGTCTGGAATGGTACAGGGTCTCCTTCTTGAGCAGGGGGTTAGACTAGAAGACCTCCAAAGTCCTTTCCAATTCTGTTATTCTGTTTTACTCTTTTGGTTTCTGGCGTGTTTCTTTCACTCTGCCTCTCATCCTCTTTCTCTCTTTCTCTCTTTAGATGTTTCTCCTGGTCTGTCTGCTTCTCTCCATGCAGGAAACTTGAACAAATTGTTCCTTTTTTTCACTTGTAGAGAAAATTGCTTACTTGAAAATGTCCTTCGAAATTAGTTCAAAAGCAGGCTGAACTCAGGCTGAGGAGTGCACCAATTATACACCTGTTCTTGGATTTAAAATATTAGCACTTAATAATTCTGGCAACATAATCCCGCAATAGCTTTGTTTCCCACAATAAGGATTGTTCATACTAAGGGCTTCCAGGAAAGAGCTAGGAACAACAGCTGCTGAGAACTACTATTTTCCTTGGAAACATTTCTCAAACAATTCATATATTTTGGCAAGTTGTAGGATGACTTTTTCCAAGGTTCTTCCATGTGGGATGGTTCCAAAGCATGGAGAAATATGTGGGAAGCACCCTTGAAAATAGTACTAAATAGAGCATAGTGGCTATACCTGATGGTCTTGGAAGAAAAATTGAGTGTTTGAAGAAATTTGGATCATACATAAAAGGATAACAGGGTAACGGAAAGGACCTTGGAGGTCAACAAATGACTGTCCAGTCTCTTCTTAAAAGCCTCCACAACTTCTGGAGGCAGGTTGTTCCACTGATTCATTGTTCTCCCTGTTAGGAAATTTCTCCTTTGTTCCAGGTTGCTTCTCTCCTTGATTAGTTTCCACCCATTACTTCTTGTCCTGCCTTCAGGCGCTTTGGGGAATAGGTTGACCCCCCTCTCCTCTGTGGCAACCTCTTAGATACTGGATATTAGATAAGGATGAGGAGATAACTGACCAAAAGTTGGAGAATCAGAATAGAGCTGGAAGGGACCTTGGAGGTCTTCTAGTCCATCCCCTGCTCAAGCAGGAGACCCTAGATCATTTTAGTTGTGCTAATATCTAGAAGTATGTGAAGCAAAAAGGCACTAAACATAACCAACAATAAGGTTTGGCAGTGAAGAAACAAATCAGCCCATCCCTCACTTAGTTAGACAAAAGTCCACAATATATTTTAAAACCTACTATTGCAAGCAATTACTATGCTAAGTGGTGTACTTATTCATCAAGTATCTGTAGAGAGAACTGGTAGGCAAATGTCATTAGTGGATGCTAGGTGCCTCAAACCTTGTCACTGGAAAGAAAATATTTTTTTTTATGTTGAGAAGGTTTGTATTCCTCATCTGCTTCCTTAGCATAATTTCTTTCTAATTTTTTTTAAAATACTTAAATGTCAAGGAATTTAGACAACTAGAAATTCATCCATATGAGAGCTGATCAACTCTCACTCATTGTATGCTAAGCTTCTATGCTAAGCTAGATTTTTTTTTAACAAGGTCTCCTGCCTTGGGCAAGGAGTTGGACTAGAAGATCTTCAAGGTCCCTTCCAGCTCTGTGATTAATAAACAAGAGGATACATATTCCAGCTCCGCTCGCTTTGCCCAATCTCTCTGTATGTTGATGGAGCAGGTTGCAAATGAGAACATAACTCTGGTTGGCTGAATGTATTGATAGCATCTAACTTAGTGTTGCTGGCTGGGGGATTCTGGGAGTTGAAGTCCACCTGTCTTCAAGTTGCCAAGGTTGAGAACCACAGATCTAATCTCTGACATGCCAGAAACTAAAGCTGGATCTTTGAGTTCAGACCCTGCTCCTTTCCATTGAGTCAGGCCCACCCTTGTGCCCAGAGTTAGCCAGCAAGGATGCCTATGTGTAAAGCTTCTTCAGCTTTACACATAGGCATCCTTGCTGGCTAACTCAACAAGATCCTCCACATTGGCCTTCTGGACATTGACCTGTACAATACATCTCTGACAAGGGCCTAGGCAATGCCATTTCATCATGTCAGAAATTCAAAGCTAGAGATTTGAGAGTCGTAATTGGACTCGGGATCAGTTTCAATACAGATGGTCTGGAAGTTCCAGCACCTGCCTGAGAACCCTAAAACCAATCCTGAATCGAAGTCTGCCTGGATGCCATTACGGTACCTGGCATCATGTCACCTGCCATCCGATATTATTTACATGTTGGGTGGGGAAGAGGCGAAAAGCAGCGAGTTGTGGCAATAGAAGGGGAAAACTGTACCAGTGGGTGCTCTTAAATGGAGACCATGTTTAGGATGCCTTCTTGGCTTAGTTACCATGATGAGGAGAGCAGGAAGGTTAGAGGGTCTCAAAATATGTGAGAGCAAACTACCTCTTCTATCTCTCTGGGATGATGTCTTCCTGACCTACTTCCTTTCTGTGTGCATGGCTTCAGTTGAAGCATTGCACTTAACAGAATAACAGAGTTGGAAGGGACCTTGGAGGTCTTCTAGTCCAACTCAAGCAGGAGACACTACACCATTCCAGACAAATGGCTGTTCAGTGTCTTGTTAAAATGGAACACCCACAGCTTCTGAAGGCCAATCATTCCACTAGTTAATTGTTGTCACTGTTAGGAAATATCCTCTTAATTCTAGGTTGCTTCTCTCCTTCCCATTCATTTTTTTCTTGTCCTGCCTTCAGGTGCTTTAATAATAATAATAATAATAATAATAATAATAATAATAATAATAATAAGTTGGAAGGGACCTTGGAGGTCATCAAGTCCAACCCCGTTCAGGCAGGAAATCCTATACCATTTCGGACAAATGGCTGTCCAGTCTCTTCTTAAAAACTTCCAGTGTTGGAGCATTCACCAGGTTGTTCCACTGGTTAATTGTTCTCAGGAAGTTTCTCCTTAGTTCCAGGTTGCTTCTCTCCTTGATTAGTTTCCATCCGTTGCTTCTTGTCCTGCCTTCAGGCGCCTTGGAGAATAGCTTGACTCCCTCTTCTTTGGGGCAGCCTCTTAAATATTGGAATCTTGCTATCATGTCATCCCTTCAGACTTCAGCCCCCCCCAATATTTTTAATTATGAAAAACTCTTGCGTAGGTTCCTAAAAAACACAGCTCTATATTCTTTTTAAAATGTGGCAAGGCTGATGTTAGCTCCCCCACTGAAAACCTGGGATGAAATATGAGATTTCAGTAATAAGCGACTGAAATTGCTTTGTATTTGTCTGGATGAAGGAGGAAGTCATTTCTTCATCTATCTTTTCTTCTTTGTGTCTTTTCCTTCCCCCTTTTTTCTCTCTGTACTTTCTATTTTTTTCTTAGTTTGGGTTAGGTTTTTATCTTTGTATTTTTATACTGTAAGAAAAACTCCAATAAAGGAGAACATGTGTAGCTCAGGGTTGAAATGAGGGATCCTTGGGTGGTCTCTGAGCTTGGCTGTTTTCCTGCAGACATTTCATGACCCAATTAGGTAAGATCATCAGTTCTAGGGTTGACTAGCTGACCAGCACTGAGGATGTCAACTAGTCTGGATAATGAAACGTCTGCAAGAAAACAACCAAGCTCAGAATGCAATAAAAATTCTTATTAAAAACTGAAAGCAACTGAAAAACAATGCAGCCAAATCCTGCCTAGGATGCTCAAGGCTGCAAGGATAGGGACCAAAGTGTCAGAGGCCAGGTGGCCCACCCCATTCCAGAATGACCGTCAGAGGAGAGAGGGAAGAGTAATAAACGAAACACCATCCTTCCTTGTTCCGTTTTCAACTGTGATGTTTCTGAAACCTTCTCTAGGGACACAACCAGCCTTGGGTTTTAGAAGGAACCATTAAGGGGTCTGAGAGAAGTGTACCTTTAAGCATTTTAACAGCCACAGTTTTGCAGGTTGAAGACTTATCTATGCCAAAAGCAGACGCTTCCACCACTTTGCCAAAAGCACCATGACCCAGAGTTTTACCTAGAGAAGCAAGAGGAAAGAGTGAGTCAGGCAGCCCCCACAACACCAAGCACTGAAGAGAAGCAAAAGGCTCTAGGTCAGTGATGGCGAACCTTTTAGAGACCGAGTGCCCAAACTGCAACCCCAAACCCACTTACACATCGTCAAGTGCTGGGTGGGTGTGGCCCATTGGCTGGGCGTGGCCCATTAGGTGGGCATGGCCAATTGGATGGATGTGGCCCATTGGGTGGGCATGGCTGCAGTGGTAATGGCACACTGGGTGGGACTAAAAAGTTCAATCAATCAATTCCAACTTTGCAAGATCTTTTTTTTTCCGTGAGAAGTTGAAATTCACTGATTGATTGAACCTTTTTTTTTTTTTGCACACGGCGGCGGAGGCCTAAAGCAAAAAGGTTTTATAAAGCCCAGCTGAAGGCTAGGACTGGGGCGATAGTGTGCGTGCCCATAGAGAGGGCTCTGAGTGCCGCCTCTGGCATCCGTGCCATAGGTTCACCACCACTGGTCTAGGATAACTCGCCATGACCAACTGGCTGTGGGATAAGAGTTACACTAAAATTGGAAAAATGGTGGAATAGGCTCCTGAAAGACAGGATGCCAAAGGAGGGACGAAATGAAATGTGAATGACAAAAATTAAACTACTTTTTAAAGTTATTTTATATCATTAAACTGAATTACTGAATTGTCCTGGGCACGTTATCCCGCAGGGAGTTTGCTGCGGCGAGGTGTCCCATTCTGAAGCAACATTCAGTATAGAGACCTGCTTTGCAACACTCCAGTTCTAGCATGAGAGAAGCTTGTTCTGCAAAAACGGATTTTGCAAAATGAAAGAATTTTCTCTAATTCCGCTTGTTTTGCACAATTTATTGCTTTGTTCCCCCCCTCTCTGTTTTGCAGCATTGATTCTCGCTTTTTGCAGAAATAACCCAACTTTTTTTTTTTTCTGAGGACATCTCACTTTCAAATATAAATCTCTAATCACGCTGGGGAAAGGAAAATCATCCTTGTTTATCCAAAGACGGAAGGAAGGAAACATTGTGATATAAACATCGTTAGGATGTAAACATCATAATATCCAGGCGTTACTTGCCTTTTGTTCCTTTTTTCTTATTTTTCATTACTCTATATTTTAATTTTGAGATTGGGTTGATTGTTCCCTGCTGTGTATGTATTTTTAATAGATTGCATAATGAAATGTATTTTTTTAAAAAAAATGGAGATGATTATTAGATTATGGAAGCCAATGACACGGCAGGATGCTTTCCCCCAAATTTTTTAGTCAAAAAATCCATTCAATATTTCTTTTTGAAGGTTCATCAGTATAATTTTGTAACCAAACAATGATTTTTTTTCCAGAAAAGGAAGGGAGGAAGGACGCTGAGAAAGATGAATTCTGCTGCCAAGAGCCCAGCATGTACTTTCCTTGAATTTGCAAAGAATTGCCATATTGACATTAAAAGTGCATGCAAGAGAATCATCCATTTCTTTTTTTGCAGAATGTCAGAGTTCCAGTAACATGCAGCAGAAACTCTGCATCACGTTAGAACATATATATAAACTGAACCGAGTTTATAAACATATGAAATAATACAAGATTAAAACACAAGAGCGGAAAAATACACAAAATCAAAGGTTTCAAACATTGCAGGGAACACACAAAACAGAATCACTTCCAGAATTCAGAAAAGCTTGCAAAATTGCGCATTGCTAAAAAGCTTTGCATGCACCCCTCAACCTTTATTATTCAGTTAAATAATTTTGTTTTTAGTCCTCCACTTCTTCCTCCTATCAAAGATTGGTCATTAGGTAGATCTAGATTGTTTTCACATAGATTGGGAAGAGGTAAATTTGTGGGTCAAATCTAAACATATTAAGGAAGTTTAACAATGGGAAAGTATTAAAGCAAACGGACATTTCATTGAGAAATAGTGGATTTTCTAACAACAGAGACTGTAGGGTTGGATAAAATCCCAGGATTAATTTTTGTGTCTCCGTTAGTGAATTACAAATGACTGTGAAGTGATTTCCAGCCTTTTGCACTCTGCAGGATATTATGGGATTGGGAGATACTTCATAAAAACTTCACGGCCTATATAAGGTTCACTTAGCTGGCAAGTAGGACGTTTGATTTATGAATACATGAATTGTTCACCAAGGTAACAGACTGAAGTTGTGCTTGAAACAAAAAACCAATTGGACCCACAAAAATTTCATTTAAAAAAGAGAAGCGGGCAACGAAGCCAGGTGAGGCAGGTAGTCCTTGACTTATGACCATAGCTGAGCCCAAGATTATGGTCATAAATCATAGTGGTCATTAAGCAGGTTATCATATGACTATTTTTGCAGAAGCCATTAAGCAAATGCCAGAGATGTTATTAAGCAGACCTGTTTTCTTTAATGGATGTAAATGCTCGAAACTGGCAAAAAAAGAGAGGAAATGGTGGTCATGTGACCATGGGAGGCTGCAAACCACCATAAATGAGAGTTGGTTGCCAAGCACTTAAAATGCAATCATGTGATTGTAGTGTGTTTGTGTGTGTGTGTGGGGGGGTGGCGCCAGAATTTTTTAACTAAGTTATAAATAGTTCTGGGAAGATTTGTCATAACTGTGAACGGTCGCCATGCAGATGGTTGTTAAGTGAGGACTACCTATATGAAATAGAGCAGTGATGGCGAACCTTTTAGACACCGAGTGCTCAAAAACCTGCCCCTGCCTCGCCCACCCCACCCCTGCCCCGCCCTGCACCACCACCCGCCCGCCCGCAGGGCCACCTACCACCTCCATGGCCCGCTGCAGCAGATTGCCCAGGCTGCCCGGTAGTGCCATGGTGGCCACGCCCTCTGCCCACCCCATGCGGCATCATCTGTGTGCGACAGGGCGCGAGGGCGGAGTCTTGTCCCCGCTGTCCTTGGCTGTGCTGCTCCGTGCAGGACGCGCCTGGGGGCAACTCTCCTCCAGGGAGGCTGCTGGTGAGAAGGGGGCCACGGGGGGAGGCAGGGCTGGGGCGACGGTGCACGTGCCCACAGAGAGGGCTTTGCGTGCCGCCTCTGGCACGCGTGCCATAGGTTCACCACCAATGAAATAGAGACAGGTAGTCCTTGACTTACAACAATTTGTTTAGTGACTGTTCAAAGCTCCAACGGCACTGAAGAAAATGGAATTATGACCATTTTTCACACACCATTGCAAAATCCCCACGATCAAGTGATCAAAATTCGGCTGCTTGGCAACTGGTTCATATTTATGACGGTCGCGGTGTCCCAGGGTCACGTGATCCCCTTTTGCGACCTTTGGACAAGCAAAGCCAATGGGGAAGCCAGATTCACTTAACAACCCAGTGACTAACTTAACAGCTGCAGTGATTCGTTTAACAAATGTGGCAAAAGAAATCATAGAATGGAGCAAAATTTACTTTGCAAATGTCTCACTTAGCAGCCGAAACTTTGGGCTCAGTTGTGGTCCTAAGTCAAGGACTACCTGTACTTTGTCATCTCTATCTTATTATCCTTGCCAATGTTTAGCTCTAGCAGGGAGCATGGAAAGCAATTTTATTCTATTTCCTTCAAGGCAGTGATGAGGTCTAACAAATCTAGTGAATGTTCTGCATGAAGCCGAAGATATCCATTAGACAGAGACAGATGACGTCGTCTCTTTCAGATGATTTGGGATGACAATTTCCATCATCACTCATGCAAAACATCTGGAAGTCATCTAGCTGACCATCCCTCCCGTAAACAATGGATCCGAATCTTTATCATCAAGCCGAATCCGATGACGTACAAATGGACTATTAGCTGTCAAATCCATCCCAGATGTGTTCAGTACAACTGCAAATTGCCAGCCAGCAGAGTCATTAAGAATTCTTGGAAAGGTAATCCAGCACTATTCAAGGTCGGGTCTAGGACAACTGGGCAGTCAACTTGCTGAGGCCAACTCACTGTGGGACGATTTGCCACAGGACAAGAGTTATATTAATACCAAAGAGAATAGAATCATTAAAGAAAGGATGGAAAAGGAGGGACAAAACGAAATGTGAACGACCAAAACTAAAATAATGTTTTAATTATTTTAACTACTTAAATTGAATTGTTGAATTGTCCCGCAGTGAATTGTCCAGTTGGCCACAGTGAGTTGGCCGTGCCAAGCTGTCCCATTCCATTCAAGGTCACCCACCAACATAGAAGCTTGCCCCCCACCTACCCAGCCGCAGCCGATCCCTTGGGAACTCCCATTTGTTGCTGTCGTAAGGAAGACGTTCGCACTGCTCATCCAGGGGCATCTCCTCTGGATCCATTATGATGGACAGATATCCAGTTTTAATGTCGGTGGCATCTGGCTAAAAGAAAAAAAAAAAGAAACTCCTTAAGATCAGGATTGGAAGAAGAAGATGGATGAAGCCGACGAACACGGAACGAGGCGAGAAGGCAGAAGCTTCACCCCCGCAAAGGTCTGAACCAAGGTGCCCCTTCTTCCTCTTTAGGGGCATGAAAACCATTTTCTGCTCCTTTTCATTCACCAGCCTGCATTCTTTCTACACTTGCATGGATGCATAGATACTGTACGGGCTTGCCTAATCATCTGTAGGAGGACAGGAAGGCCTGGAAGAACATTGTCCATGGGGTCGTGATGGGTCGGACACGACTTCGGCAACTAACAACAACAAATCATCTGTAGCAAGTTCAAAGGATTTCCAGGGACATTCACCTGCACTTTCACTTTCACTCAGCTGGTGACATGGCCAGGAATTGATTATGCCATTGAACGAGGATTAGGAAAATGACGTGTTAGTTGGGGAAATGTGTCACTGCCAACCTACTGAGCAAGCAGTGCTCAGAAGTGACAGAGATGTAGAATTCACACTTGGGAGACGACCCTCTTCCAGTCTCTTCCAATCTCTTGTACCCCCCACGGTTTTTACAGTTGGGCAGAACTTTCAGAAGTGGTACAGGTCGTCCTCGACGTACGACCACAACTGAGCCCAAAATTTCCGTTGCTACGTGAGATATTTGTGAAGTGAATGTTGCCCCATTTCTTGCCACAGCTGTTAAGTAAATCATTGCAGTTGTGAAGCTAGTAACACAGTTGCTAAGTGAATCTGGCTTCCACATTGAATTTACTTGTCAGAAGGTCGCAAAAGGGGATCACACTGCGACCGTCATAAGCATGAGTCAGTTGCCAAGCGTCTGAATTTTGATACTGTGATCATGGGGATGCTGTAATGGTTGTAAGCGTGAAAAAGGATCAAAAGTCACTTTTTTTCAGTGCTGTTGTAACTTCAGACAGTCACTAAATGAAATGTCTGCAGGACTACTTGTACTTTCAAAAATGTGAAAGATGGACAAATTAGCTCTGTTTGAATCATCAAAGTAGCCATGTCTTTTTTCCCCAGAATCGCATGATTTAGAAATTGCCTCCAGCTGACTCGGCAGGACTAAGCAGCTGTAGGCAAATGAAGATTTTTCTCTGTCGTTGATAGCACTATAGAAATTGACTACTGAATCACTTTAGTTCTTTCAGCATTTAGGGCAGGGGTAGGCAACCTTGGCTCTTTTATGACTCGTGGACTTCAACTCCCAGAATTCCTGAGCCAACATGGCTCAGCTTGGAAACCTCTCCCTTTCCCCTCAGCATGGCTGGCTCAGGAATTCTGGGAGTTGAAGTCCACGAGTCATAAAAGAGCCAAGGTTGCCTACCCCTGATCTAGGGTGATTCATTTCTAAGCCTCAAACATGAGGATCACCTTACTTTTCTGAGTTTCCGTATGAAGAGGGTCAGAAGGAGCCAAAAGAGAGTGGCTGCTAGGCCAGTGCAAACCAGGATGATAACTTCTATGTTAGATTTTTCTTCAGAGCCTGAAAAAGACACACATGAGAAGGTTTCAGCTCAAGATCCATTGACCCACCACTCCATTAAGCTTCACTTGCAATAAACCATGCATGCATTGGATAGCTTTTGGTTGCTTAACAACAGTTAAAAATGATGGGGTTTGTAGTCGGAGTATAAATGCTGTTCTCACCTTCTATTTTAATAAACGCCCGGGTGCTGTCTTGACCCATCTCGTTGATCGCTTGGCATTCATAATGACCCTCGTCATCCTTTTTCACTCGTTCAATCACCAAAGTATTGTTTTCCATGGAAATTCCTGGAAGAGGGAAGGGGAGGGAGACAGAGAAGAAAAAAGGAATATTATTTTCCATGCATCACATTCTAGACTCTAGAAGAGTTTTTCCCCCAGAGAAATTGATAGTGGAATCGCATGGCCCCATTAGGTCGCATTAGAAAAAAGAATTATGCGTGTGTCTGTGTGTGTTTGTATGTGTGTGTGTAAAAAGTCAAGATGGTGGTCACAACCTCTGCCTTGGTGGCGACAATCATGACCTTGAGGGCTTTTTAAAATCCACTTGTGGATGCCACTGATAGAAAGAGATCCAAGGACAGTTGAGGGTTCCTTCTTTGAAGCTAATCAGCAGCCCATCTGGTCCAATTTTATTTGTGCTGAAAGCAGGGTCGCTCCAAGATTTCAGCACACACCCTCTTTTGCATTTTGATATTTCTGGAAGTGGATTTTCGAGGAACTGAAAGCTAGCACGGTTTCCATTACTCAACTAGGTAACACAATCAGTGCTAGAAGGGAGTGAGCTTTGTGGAGAAGAGGAGGAGGAGGAGGAGGAGGAGGAGGAGGAGGAGGAGGAGGAGGAGGGAGGGGGCTGTGCGGTCCTTGGTGCTCTCTGAGCTTGGTTGTTTGCTGGCAGATGTTTCATTACCCAACTAGGTAACATCATCAGTGTGAGTGAGGGTGGGGCTTGCCAAGTGCCCAGATTGCAATCATGTGACTTTGGGGGTGGCTGGAATGACCTGAACTTCACTGCCCAGTTGTAACTGGTATTTGTTCAGCACCACTGTACTTTTGAACAATTGCTGAACGAAAGGTCGTAATCCGAGGACTACATGTATGTGGGGAATGTAGCCTGGAGATTCCCAGCTGGGAGGGGCTGCATTCCAGAGGATCAAGAGATAGCAAAGTTTAGATAGTTTGGTTGAGACGAAGAGAGCCAACATGGCTCCTTCCTAGAAGTTTTCAGAATATAGCTTTAATGATGCGAGTAGTTTGCTTTAGCTTGGCAAGATTCTGTCTGTAGCTGAGGAACGAAAAAGGAAACGGCTCAGAAGCGACGAAGAGACTGGTATAGATTCTCCTGCTTGAGCAGGGGGCTGGACTAGAAGACCTCCAAGGTCCCTTCCAGCTCTATTCTATTCTTCTATTCTTCATCTGTCTTGGCTTTTGGGGGGCCCTGACATTGTATAGCTCGTTCTGGACCTGCTATGTTAGGAACTGAACTTGGGATCTTGAAGATGAAAAATTTTCCTGCGGATTCCCCCTGTTCCAATGGGCCAGCTGTGCTCTTAAAAGAGAGAAAGACACAAGAGCAGCACCACTCATCTTAGGAAGCTCACCTGAAGCAGGGGCAATGCGGTGGCCATCTTTCAGCCAAGCAATAGTAGGATGGGGGATCCCGTTGACTTTGCACTCCAGAACGATGGTCCCGCTCACATTAACCTCCAAGTTGGTAAAGTTCTCCATAATGTAAGGCACCGTCTTAACTGCAATCAAAGAGAAAATGACATATTTTAACACCAAAAGCTTTGCGCTTCTGTGATTACAGAGGCAACCTTCATCCCGAACAAAAGAAACTGAGAAAATTATAAAGATCAGATCAACACAGCTTGGACCCCACAGAGATTTAAAAGTAAATGTTGGGTAGAAGGAAGATTTTAACGGTTAATATGAAGATAAACCAGTTCCTCCTCTTCCTCCTCCTATACCATAAAACGTCCTGTAAGTTACTAGTCCTCATGATTCCAAAGCTAAGCACCAATTCAATTCAGTAATATCCACTCTACAGTTATACTTCTTCTTTTTCTTCCCATCAAGGAATGAAATCTGGGACTTCATTCCCCTATAATCTTTCAGAAGACAAGGAACGTGTGGTAAGTAAAAATGGTGTTTTTTTATATATAATGTCTCATCTCAATTTCTTTATGACACATTCAGAATGAAAGTCAATTTACAAGGCATGTTTTGCCTCTCCCCATCGTATTTGGTTCCCTTCTCCATTGTCCTTTGTCCCCTGGGGTTTCTGATGTGCTGTTTTGTTCCCCAAATCAGTCCCGGTTTATCTAATTCTTTAAAAACTAACTTAACTTACTTTTGTTGTTGTGTCTAAAAAAGTCTCCCTTTGTTTCTTTGTTCTTCCCAGATTGAAAAAGCTTCTAGAGGCAGGTTGTTCCACTGGTTAATTGTTCTAACTGTCAGGAAGTTTCTCCTTAGTTCTAGGCTGCTTCTCTTCTTGATTAGTTTCCATCTGTTGCTTTTTGTTCTGCCTTCAGGTGCTTGGAGAATAGCTTGACTTCCTTTTCTTTGTGGCAGACCCTGATATTGGAAGACTGCTATCATGTCCCCCCTCGTCCTTCTCTTTATTAAACTGGACATAACCAGTTCCAGCAGCTGTTCCTTGTATGTTTTAGTCTCCAGTCCCCTGGTCATCTTTTTTGCTCTTCTCTGCACTCTTTTTAGAATCTCAACATCTTTTTTACATCGTGGTGACCAAAACTGGATGCAGGATTCCAAGTGTGGCCTTACCAAGGCCTTGTAAAGTGGTATTAATACTTCACGTGATCTTAATACGATCCCTCTGTTAATGCAGCCTAGCACTGTGTTGGCCTTTTTGGCAGCTGCAGCACACTGCTGGCTTATATTTAAGTGGTTGTCCACTAGGAGCATGGCTGACTCAGGAATTCTGGGAGTTGAAGTCCATGAGTCATAAAAGAGCCAAGGTTGCCTACCCCAATCTAGCGGATGAGTCAACTTCAACACAACATTCTCCTTCCACTCTTCACTGCCTACTGAACTGCTGCGCATGGCGCCATAGGACGGGCCTCACTATCCCAGCCTATTTCTTGCACATGCTCAAACAATATTTCCAAATTGCCCTCCTGTTTAGGTAGTTAGGGAAGAGATGATGAATCCATTCAATTCTGTTTCAGTTTCCTACCAACATCTGTGTGAGTAGAACCAGGGGCATCTGCCTGGGGTGTTAAAAAAATCAAGATGGCATCCAAGCCTTGTAACTGAAATCCTCCAAATGCAGTTAAAAAGAACCCTAGGTTTCAATCCCGAATTGCCTTCATAACTTTCTATCTACTTATCCAAACAAATACAGAGGCTGGAGATAGATTGCATTTTAGGGTCAGTTTTGTAAAGGGTGTCTCTGTGTGTAAATAGGAATATTGCCAAAATTGTACCCGCATATAAGTTGGAATATTGCCGGAATTGCCTTGTTTGGAATTTGGCAATGCTGTAATTCAAAACAGCACATAAAGAAATCCGTATTAGAGAAATGTAAGGAAAGAAAATAGCATACTCTTAAAGCAGGGGTCTCCAAACTTGGCAACTTTATGACTGTGGACTTTCAGAGTTCATCATCCAGCATGGCTGGCTAAGGAATTCTAAGAATGGAGGTTCACTAGTCTTAAAAGTTACCATGTTTGGGGCCCATGGGTTAGAGCAGAGCTTCACAACCTCGGCAACTTTAAGATGTGTGGACTTCAACTTCCAGAATTCCTCAGCCAGAATTCTGGGAGTTGAAGTCCATACATCTTAAAGTTGCCGAGGTTGAGTAACACTGTATTAGAGAAACGTATAGGCCACATGCCAGCCAAGAGCAGGATGGGGCAGATGTTGCCAGCCTTCTTACATTTTATGCAGAGCATGGTGCTTTTCTCCAGCTGTTTGGTGCGGTTATCGTAGCTTGATGCTCGGCACTTGTAAAGCCCGGCGTGAGCCTGGGAAACATTATGGATGTCCAGGACTAAGGAGATGGAATAGTTGTCCACCTTCTTCTGGGTGAGAGCTGTGGGGACTTCCTGCAAGGTGGGATCGTACCAGGTGAGGTGATCGTAAAGGTACTTGGAACACTTGCAGGTCATCTGGACGTGGCTGGACACAATAGCTATCATTTGGGAGTCTGCCTCTAGGCTGGACTGCATGTCTGCAAGAAACATCAGAGAGAAGTAGGCAAAGACAGTTAGAACAATTAATCAATGGAACGACTTGCCTCCAGAAGCTGTGAATGCTCCAACACTGGAAGTTTTTAAGAAGAGACTGGACCTCCAAGGTCCCTTCTATTCTATTCTATTCTATTCTGCATTCAATTTTCTATTCTTTTCTATTCTATTCTGCATTCAATTCTCTATTCTATTCTATTCTATTCTGCATTCAATTATCTATTCTATTCTATTCTATTCTGCATTCAATTCTCTATTCTATTCTATTCTACATTCAATTTATTCTATTCTATTCTATTCTATTCTGCATTCAATTTTCTATTCTATTCTATTCTATTCTATTCTATTCTATTCTATTCTATTCTATTCTATTCTATTCTATTCTGTTCTTCATTTGAATCTAGGTGTAGCTGAGTATATGGAGGACTTCCTTATTTCCAACCCTGAGATGAAGGCTTCAAAATACAGGTAGTCCTCAACTTATGACCACAACTGAGGCCAACATTTCTGTTATTAAGTAAAACATTTGTTCAATGAGTTTTGCCCCATTTTACGACCTTTCTTGCCACAGTTGTTAAGTGAATCACTGCAGTTGATGTGAGTAACGCGGTTGTTAAGGGAATCTGGCTTCCCCATTGAGTTTGCATGTCAGAAGGTCACAAAATGACATGACTGCAGGATGCAACGGTTGTAAACATGAACCAGTTGCCAAGTGTCTGAATTTTGATCACATGATCATGGAGATGCAGCAAAGATCATAACTCTGAAAAATGGTCGTAAATCACATTTTTCCAGTGCCGTTGTAACTTTGAACAGTCACTAAACGAACTGTTGTAAGTCAAGGACTACCTATGCAGTGCATGGTTGGAGAATATGTCATCAGCACTTCCACAAAATGGCAACAATTAAGGAAGTGACTTAACTGAAGGCTCTTCTGCATGTTAGATACAACTTCCAAGCTAAGCGTTGAAGTAGAGCAGCCCATTGTTGACCTCCAGTGGGGCGTCAAGGACAATTGGAAAGACGTTGTTAACTTGCCTAGGCCCTTACACCTCAGAAATGCAGAAGCAGTTGTAAAATATGGAGCGCGAATTGGGATGTGGAGTGGAGGGGAGGAGAGGAAGAGGAAAAGAGAGGAGAATAAGGAGAAGGAGAAGCAGAAGGAGAAAGAAAGGAGAAGAGAGGAGAGGAAGAGAAGAGGAGGAGGAGAAGAGAAGGAGGAAAAGGAGAAGAGGAGAAGGAGAGGAGAGTCTCCCTTTTTATTTTTATTATCTAGCTATCTTTCTATCTATCTATCTGTCTGTCTGTTTGTCTGTCTATCATCTGTCTATCTGTCTTGAGAGGCACAGTAGCCCAGAGGTGGAGCTCTCGCCTCTTAATCAGGAGGCTGTGAGTTCGATCCTAGGTAGCAGCAGGTATTTCTCTCTCTGGACTCAATGGATAATTGTCTGCTGTGAACTCTGAATAGGCATCAGGAAGGGCATCCGGCCAGTAAACACTTGAGCTCCATTCAGTCCCCACCCCAATGCAAGGGATGACAGGGTCGTTAACAGAAAACGTTTTATCTATCTCTTTGTCTATGTGTAAAAGGGGCTTGGATTGCATGATTAGCCACCATCTTGCCTTTTTTGACCTCCTCCCCCTAAGAATCATTGCAGGTTGCATCTTCTGTCCTTCCACCAGATGTTTCTGGGCCTCTGGGGGGGGGGGGTGATGGACGTTCTTTACCTGTGATATAAAACCTGATGTTCCTCTCTTCAGTGCCCAACTTGTTGGAAGCCACACAGTGATAGATTCCCGAGACGTTGCTCGCTGTCATGGTCAAAGTGCTCAAGACCTTCCAAAGGAAAAAAGAGAAAGAAAGAAAGAAATAGGTTAGTTTCTTTAGCCACAAAAGGCTGCAGGGAAATTGCTTGGTGATGTAGAACATAACAAAGTTGGCACTTCCATTGCCTTGCAATCAAGACCGATCGCAAAAAATATTTCAAGCTCTGCAGATCATTCATGAATGAAAAGTACACAATGGATTTGAAACAGTGAATGGTATAAAGAGGGCATCAAACAGCTTGTATAAACCTTAGAGTAGTGATGGCGAACCTTTTAGAGACTGAGTGCCCCAAAATTGCCCTGCCCCCTGCCCGCCACTGTTCTGCCCCGTCCTGCCCCCATCCTGCCTTCCCGCAGGGTCACCCACTGCCTCCATGGCCCGCTGCAACAGAGCGCCCAGGCGGCCCTGCAGCGCCATGGCGGGCACACCCTCTGCCTGTCCCTGCAGCATCATCTCCATACAACGGGGCCCGAGGGCGGAGTCTTGTCCTTGCTGCCTGGCTGCCATGTCCTTGGCTGCGCTGCTCCGCATGGGCTGCGCCTGAGGGCGACTCTCTGGGGGTGCTGCTGATGAGGAGGGGGCTGTGGGGGGAGGCGGGGCTCAGGCGACAGTGCACGTGCCCACAGAGAGGGCTCTGAGTGCCGTCTCTGGCACGCGTGCGATAGGTTCACCACCACTGCCTTACAGGTTGATTAAAAAAAAATTGTAACTTTCTTGAAATTGTCCGGAAATGGGTCTCATAGAAGAACAGTGAGCATAAAAGCGGTTAAGTTTTCTAAGAACTGGTAATACAAGTAGTCCTTGACTTACAACAGTTCATTTAGTGACTGTTACAATGGCATTGAAGTTACAATGGCATTGAAAAAAGTGACTTATAATCATTTTCACCCTTACGACCGTTGCAGCATCCCCATGGTCCCGTGATCAAAATTCAGATGCTTGGCAGCTGATTCTTATTTATAACGGTCGCAGCCTCCCGGGGTCACGTCATTCCCTTTTCTGACCTTCTGACAAGCAAAATCAATGAGGGAAGCCATTGATAACCTTGTAACAACCTTGTAACTAACTTAACAACTGCAGTGATTCACTTAACAACCATGGCAAGAAAGATCGTAAAATGGGGCAAAACTCACTTAACAACTGTTTCACTTAGCGACATAAATTTTGTGCTTGATTTTAGTTGGAAGTCGAGGACTTCCTGTATAAGATCTAGTCGTCCTTGGTCAAAGATTCTCTAGTGTTGCTTTTAGATCTTTCGATCTGTTCTGAGATCTGCTCAGGCATTACCTCTTGGAGAGCTAAAAAAAACAAAAAGAAAAACTCGGAAGGATAAAAGGGTGGATTTCCTTGTAAGACAAGTAGATTTCCTTGTTGGACATGTGCAAGAATTTTCACAACTCAAAGCCCTATAATTGGACTATAGGCATGGAGAGACTTAATTAGCGACAAGCCGAATTTGTAACTAAAGACGGCACAATGCAGCATCTTCTTATCCAGAAATCAAGGTGACCTGATTTTTGACATGATTACACTGGACTGATAAAGCTACTCTTTACTTGCCTGTTGTAATTCCAGTTTGTGAACAAGTTACACTTCCATTTAATCTAGGAGGAAAGCTTCCAATAAGGGTAGGGGGAGCTTTTCCAATCAATTCTATCTACCAAGAGAACTGGACCATGGATCCCCTAAAACACGTGCCTGGCTGAGGAATTCTGGGAGTTGAAGTCCACAAGTCATAAAGGGCCAAGTTTGAAGACCCCTGCAATACAAGCGCCCTGGATCAGAGTTCTTGCGTTTACTTTGAAATAGGGTGAAAAAAGATGTGGCTGACTAATGGAAAATATAGATGCTGAAATATTATTTTTGTTCATGAATTCAGCTTTCCTACTTATTGATTACAACGACAAGGTCAGGATTGGACATATATAAACAGATTTGCCTATATATGTACGCAGGGTGGGATTCAAATAATTTAACAGCCGGTTCTGTGCCCTAATGTAAAATCTGTTTGTCATCATCACTGGAGCGACGTGCCTGGCATTGTCATCATCACCGGCGCAACGCGCCTCATGGAAGCAGTAGCATCACCGGTGCGACACACCTGGCGGCAGCAGCCCCAGCATGATGCGCCTCGCAGATTTGTCATAACTGGTTTGCCAAACTCAACAAAAAATTAGGTATCGGTTCTGCCGAACTGGTGTGAGCTGGCTGAATCCCACCACTGCATGTGTGTATGAGGATTAATGAGGATTAGCAATGATTCTATCTTAGGTTCCTAAACATCTCTCAAGAGCTTTGAGCTAAAGCCCTGGCAGTATTTTTCTGCTAGGTTTAACTTGTAAAATGAATTAACCCAAGGCAAAATACTGACCTGATCCATATTGATGGGCTGTAATATTAGATCTTCTAAAATGTTTATCATACAATCTGCTATGCTCATCTACTAGTCTTAACTTCCATTTGGCCTTTAATTTTCAACTCTCTTATTTTTGGAGTGAAGTTAATACTGAAGGCAAATGAGGTTAACTTCTAGATCAAAGCATTCTACCTTGAGCAGCTGGCAAGCATTCTTCCTTAAAAAATAAAGTCAGAAATAGTTGATAGGGATTGCCTTGGGAAATTTTCTGTTCCCTATGCTCCAACTTCTGGAGTTCCTGGAAGAGAGCAGCTGCCTTTTTCTGGCTCTTATTGTCTCCAAACATGAAAGCAATCACACTTTAATTAGGAAGAAAAGGCTTCCTTTTTTCTTTGATGAAAAAATGCAAAATGAAGATGAATTCACACTGTAATGATTGATTCTTGCATAAGGCCAGTATTTGTGGAAGCGTTTTCAGCCTAGGATGGCAAACTCCGGGAGTTCTCATTGTGAAAAGGATAATCTGACTTGTATCTGTCTCCATTTTGTAGAAAAAGTTGGGGCAGGTTTTTGTCAATACAATTCAGCAAAATTGCTGAAATAGCAGCAGATGCCAAAAGAGCTAAGTAAGAGAATGATCCTTGACATCCTCTGAAAGGACATATGCTCCAAGCCCACCAACTCAGATCAAGGAACAGGTTTATGGCAAGACCAAACATTTTTGATGGTACACAAGAACAAAATCAAATTAAAAGATGGGGGAAGGAGACCATTGGATAAGGAATAACATTAAAGGACGATATTCTCAAATGGAGACTCTTAGTGGATAACAACACATTGTGTGGATATAGAGAGACACACAGAACTTGCCCCACCTTCTGGTATGTCAGTTACTACCAGAAACATGTACCAATAATGACCTATTTTTGGCCAACGACAAAGCTAAGAAGGTGCCTTCATTCTGGCAGTTTGAAGGAAGAAGGAGAAGGTGAAGGAGAAAGAGAAGAAGAAGAAGAAGAAGAAGAGGAAGAGGAGGAGGAGGAGGAGGAGGAGGAGGAGGAGGAGAAGGAGGATTGTTGGGGGTCAGGTTTTCCAAACCAGCCCCAAACTTTGGCTATTTGCCCAGGTTGTTTCAGCACAAACATTTTCCGGTTGATTTATTATATTTGGCGGCCCATATTTGTTGCAGAATCTTGAACCGTATCTGAGACTCTCTTTTTCCTTGATTTTATTTTATCCCCTTTAAATTTCATACCTGAGAAGAGAGTTGGAGTTGGTCCTCGTCCAACACTTTAAACATTTTAGTAATGGTGATGGTTAACTTTTATTTTAGTTTGGGAGAGTTTTCCTGTTCTTGGAACTACAGTTGATGTCATGATGTCTAGAAGGTGCATGGGAGTGAGATTTGTAATCCTTAATCTTCTCATGGGTTCTGGCACCTACAACTGTGCTCCTTGGCTTACAACCACAACAGCAGGTTGCCCATCATGTGTTTTCATATGCTAGGTTTCCATTCAGACTCCTTGTGTTCAATCAGACCTACTTCCAAGTAAGTGCACAAGGGATGTCTTCATCAAAGGAAGTCCCTTTTGTTTATCTGTGTATTTATGTGGGTATTATAAACCACCCAGTTTGTTTACCACAAGCTTCTCAGGAATCCCTGATGGAGTAGGATATGTATGATGTGCACATAATGCTAAACATGTCACTAGAAGGCAAAATCAGGAAACTGCATCTCACATAATTTGGGCATGTCATGCAGGAGGAGACAATGTTAGTGGGAAAGCAGGCCATCAAAGAACAAGGTGGCTGGACTCCATCAAAGCTGATACCAGCCAGAACATAGAAAAACTCAAAGAATCAGTGCAAGACTGGAGGATATGGGGAAACCTGGCCCACAGAATTGCCAAGAGTTGGACACAACTGAATGGATAACATCATCACCATGTATGATGTAAATACTTGGGAATCAGTCATCCAAAATGCCCTGGTGAATGAGGGACTGTGAACACAGCATCTCCCTGCAACATCTGAGAGCAGCTGTGCCTGGTTATATAGAGAAAGTCATGGCTGCCTTGAGCTGTCCTTCACTTGCACACCCACGTGCGAAGAACTATTTTGAAGCTCCAGTTCAAAGCCCTGATAAGTACATAAATAAAAATTTAAGTCATGTCACAGTGCAAAAATTCCCAGGAGATCAATTACTTCACAGCTCTTAAATCTGTAGAGATAAGGAGTTTGAAAGCATGCAGTATAAATAAGAAACAGCCATGCCTCTGTTTACTCCCAGGGTGACTTTATGATTAAAAAGAGAATAATTTATTATTGAAATGAATGAGTGGGCCAGTGTTATTTAATTTTGGCTTAGATTATTAGTTCCTTGTCCCTCTGATAGTTCAAACTAACTATTTAGAGATAAATAAAGGCAAAACAACTATCTGATTACGGATTTCCTAAGGCTACGAAATGTTTTAATGGCTTGTTTTAAATTTATCTGGACACTTAGTTCTTTTTTAACTTTCTAAAATCAAAGTTTTAATTACCTTTTTGCTATTTATTCCAAGAAGATGTTTTTAATTTCTAGTTGAAACGTTCTTTCGCTAAGGACTAAAGGAAACTCACTCGCTGTAGTCAGACTTTTTGATTCAAAGTT